GGCCGGGCTGGGCTGGCGACGCACACCGTAGGCTTTGTGCGTTGAGCAGGAACAGGCCGGGCTGGGCTGGCGACGCACACCTTAGGCTTAGTACGTGGAGCAGGAACAGGTCGGGCTGGGCTGGCCACGCACACCGTAGGCTTCGTACGTGGAGCAGGAACAGGCCGGGCTGGGCTGGCGACGCACCCCGTAGGCTTCGTACGTGGAGCAGGAACAGGCCGGGCTGGGCTGGCGACGCACCCCGTAGGCTTGGTGCGTGGAGCAGGAACAAGCCGGGCTGGGCTGGCGACGTACACCGTAGGCTTAGTACGTGGAGCAGGAACCGGCCGGGCTGGACTGGCGACGCACACCGTGGGCTTGGTGCGTGGAGTAGGAACAGGCCGGTCCGTACTGGGAACACACACCACTGGCCTTAACCGGGGATCAGGAACGGGCCGGACCGGACTGGTAACACACCTCAGTCTCTCACGCCGTGCCTCAACTACTTCCCTCCCTCTACTCGCCAATGGCTCCCGTAATCCGGTAGCCTTCTCTCCACGTCTCCCTGTGGCAGCCTCCTGCTGCCCAGCCGCCCAAGCCATGTGCCCCCCCCAAAAAACTTTTTCGGGTTGCCTCTCTTCCATCCGACGATGGCCCTGCTGACGCCGTTGCTCCTCTCCTGCCAGGTTCTCCCCCTTCATCGCCCTCCGGTACCGGACGGCCTCCTCCTGCGTAATATGTCCCCAGCCGAGGAGGACATCCACCAGCGTTCTCTCCTGCGGGTGTTCCTGTATACGCTGCTTGGTCCTTTTGTGGTGGGTTTTTCTGTCACGATCGTCTTCCAAAGGCGTGGACCAAAGCGCAGCGTTTGTAGCGAACATGACTTTATTAAAGTTAAAGTGCACGAACGAAAAACAATAAACAATGACGGATAGTGAAGTCCTCAGTACACAGACTGAAACATGGAACAAAAACCCACAACCACAAGGTGAAAACACACAGTTTAAATATGGCTCCCAATCAGAGATAACGAGCCGACAGCTGACACTCGTTACCTCCAATTGGGAGTCATTGACCAAACCAAGAAACCACAACCAAAACACAACAAAACGAACACACCCTGGCTCAACATACAAAGTCCCGGAGCCAGAGCGTGACATACGTTTGCCCACTGACAAAGACATGATCAGTCTATAATTTTAATGGTAGGTTTATTTGAACAGGGAGAGACAGAATAACAACAACAAAATCCACAAAAACGCATGTCAAAAATGTTATAAATTGATTTGCATTTTAATGAGGGAAATAAGTATTTGACCCCTCTGCAAAACATGACTTAGTACTTGGTGGCAAAACCCTTGTTGGCAATCACAGACGTTTCTTGTAGTTGGCCACCAGGTTTGCACACATCTCAGGAGGGATTTTGTCCCACTCCTCTTTGCAGATCTTCTCCAAGTCATTAAGGTTTCGAGGCTGACGTTTGGCAACTCGAACCTTCAGCTCACTCCACAGACTTTCTGTGGGATTAAGGTCTGGAGACTGGCTGGGCCACTCCAGAACCTTAATGTGCTTCTTCTTGAGCCACTCCTTTGTTGCCTTGGCCGTGTGTTTTGGGTCATTGTCATGCTGGAATACCCATCCACGACCCATTTCCAATGCCCTGGCTGAGGGAAGGAGGTTCTCACCCAAGATTTGATGGTACATGGCCCCGTCCATCATCCCTTTGATGTGGTGAAGTTGTCCTGTCCCCTTAGCAGAAACCCCCCCCCCCCCCCAAAGCATCATGTTTCCACCTCCATGTTTGACGGTGGGGATGGTGTTCTTGGGGTCATAGGCAGCATTCCTCCTCCTCCAAACATGCGAGTTGAGTTGATGCCAAAGAGCTCGATTTTGGTCTCATCTGACCACAACACTTTCACCCAGTTCTCCTCTGAATCATTCAGATGTGCATTGGCAAACTTCAGATGGGCCTGTATATGTGCTTTCTTGAGCAGGGGGGCCTTGCGGGCGCTGCAGGATTTCAGTCCTTCACGGCGTAGTGTGTTACCAATTGTTTTCTTGGTAACTATGGTCCCAGCTGCCTTGAGATCATTGACAAGTTCCTCCCGTGTAGTTCTGGGCTGATTCCTCGCCGTTCTCATGATCATTGCAACTCCACGAGGTAAGATCTTGCATGGAGCCCCAGGCCGAGGTAGATTGACAGTTCTTTTGTGTTTCTTCCATTTCGAATAATCGCACCAACTGTTGTCACCTTCTCACCAAGCTGCTTGGCGATGGTCTTGTAGCCCATTCCAGCCTTGTGTAGGTCTACAATCTTGTCCCTGACATCCTTGGAGAGCTCTTTGGTCTTGGCCATGGTGGAGAGTTTGGAATCTGATTGATTGATTGCTTCTGTGGACAGGTGTCTTTTATACAGGTAAAAAGATGAGATTAGGAGCACTCCCTTTAAGAGTGTGCTCCTAATCTCAGCTCGCTACCTGTATAAAAGACACCTGGGAGCCAGAAATCTTTCTGATTGAGAGGGGGTCAAATACTTATTTCCCTCATTAAAATGCAAATCAATTTATAACATTTTTGACATGCATTTTTCTGGATTTTGTTGTTGTTATTCTGTCTCTCACTGTTCAAATAAACCTACCATTAAAATTATAGACTGATCATTTCTTTGTCAGTGGGCAAACGTACAAAATCAGCAGGGGATCAAATACGTTTTCCCTCACTGTACAGTACTTTAAAAAAAAGTTAGGGGTGTGGATCAGAAAACCAGTCAGTATCTTGTGTGACCACACATCTCCTTTGCATAGAGTTGATCAAGCTGTTGATTGTGGCCTGTGGAAAGTTGTCCCATTCCTCTTCAGTGGCTGTGCGAAGTTGCTGTATATTGTCGGGAACTGTAACACGCTGTTATACACGTCGATCCAGAGTGTCCCAAACATGCTCAATGGGTGACATGTCTGGTGAGTATGCAGGCCATGGAAGAACTGGGACATTTTCAACTTCCAGGAATTGGGTACAGATCCTTCCAACATGGGGCCGTGCATTATCATGCTGAAACATGAGGTGATGGCTGCGGATGAATGGCACAACAATGGGCCTCAGGATCTCGTCACGGTATCTCTGTGCATTCAAATTGCCATCGATAAAATGCAATTGTGTTTGTTGTCCGTAGCTTATGCCTGCCCATACCATAACCCCACCTCCACCATGGGGCACTCTGTTCACAACGTTGACATCAGAAAACTGCTCGCCCACATGACGCCATACATGCTGTCTGCCATCTGCCCGGTACAGTTGAAACCGGGATTCATCTATGAAGAGCACACTTCTCCAGCGTGCCAGTGGCCATCGAAAGTGAGCATTTGCCCACTGATGTCAGTTACGACATCGAGCTGCAGTCAGGTCAAGACCCTGGTGAGGATGACGAGCACATAAATGAGCTTCCCTGACGGTTTCTGACAATTTGTGCTGAAATTCTTTGGTTGTGCAAACCCACAGTTTAATCAGCTGTCCGAGTGGCTGGTCTCAGACAATCCCGCAGGTGAAGAAGCCGGATGTGGAGGTCCTGGGCTGGCGTGGTTACACGTGGTCTGCGGTTGTGAGGCCGGTAGGATGTACTGCCAAATTCTCTAAAACAAAGTTGGAGGCAGCTTATGGCAGAAAAATTAACATTCAATTATTTGGCAACAGCTCTGGTGGACATTCCTGCAGTCAGCATGCCAATTGCACGCTCCCTCAAAACTTGAGACATCCGTGGCATTGTGTTGTGTGACAAAACTGCACATTATAGAGCAGTGTTTCCCAACCAGGGGTACTAGGACCCCTGGGGGTACTTGGCCTATCCACAGGGGGTACTTGAGAAGACTCATGAGACCATAGGTTTACTGGTAAAATGTACATGAGGGGGTACTTCAGGGGTACTCCGGACAGAGCAAAATATACTTGGTGGTACATTAAGACAAAAAGGTTGGGAACCACTGTTTTAGAGTGACCTTTTGTTGTCCCCAGCACAACGTGCACCTGTTTTTTTTTTTTTTTTTTTTTTTTGTCATTTAGCAGACGCTCTTATCCAGAGCGACTTACAGGAGCAATTAGGGTTAAGTGCCTTGCTCAAGGGCACATCGACAGATTTTTCACCTAGTCGGCTCGGGGATTAGAACCAGCAACCTTTCAGTTACTGGCACAACGCTCTTACCCACTAAGCTACCTGCCGCCCTGTTTAATCATCATGCTGTTTAATCAGCTTCTTTATATGCCACACCTGACAGGTGGATGGATTATCTTGGCAAATGAGAAATGCCCACTAACAGGGATGTAAACAAATTTGAGAGAAATAAGCTTTTTGATACATTTCTGGGATCTTTTATTTCAGCTCATGAAACATGGGACCAACACTATACATGTTGCGTTTATATTTTTGTTCAGTATAACTTTATTCACAGACAGCATGGACCTTGCTCTGTCATTATCAGTACACCGATTAAGGCAGGGTGGCACGGTGTATGAGTGTGGGCGATGGGCGGTAGATCCTAGATACTTTCAGTTTGTTTGTTTTCCCTCTGGAGTCAAGCAAATGCATCCAGAAAGTTTGCACAGTATCAAAACTGTGTTGTGTTCAGGTTTCTATTTCCAACAGTATCTGCAGTGCCAAGACCTACAAGTCTGTTTCTGCTGCTACTTTGTGTTACCTGTTTTCGGTCAAGGTGATGAGTAGAATGTTGTTCTAAAATGTTTTGGCTTCAGTGGCCTGATAAGCTTTGGAGGGGGAGCAGTGCCATCAAAAGATGAACTTGAGTTAATGGACTCTGTCAATGAAGCTTGTTCAAAAACCCTCCAATGAACATCAATAGGCAAAACAAAATTATCCACAACATCTGAACAACCTCCTGCTGATGAAAGGAGTCTGTTTGCTGTGGAGTCAGACAGACAGACAGACGGACAGGCTCAAGTAGCAAATAACTGTTTATTGGAGGTCTGCCCAATCTGTTCCTGTTGTTACTCAATGACACTCCTCTTCCTCCCAGTTTTCTCACTACTCCATGGTGATAAGCCACTGTGTCGAGCACCAGCTGACTCTGGCTCCAGACGCTCCTTTATCTGGCATGGTCAACTCATTTACTGCTGGGATCACAATGCCATATTGTTCGCCTGTTGTTTACCATAGTCAGACTGGTGGCTATTTGAGGAAGGATGTTTGAGGCCATTAATGTTAGAAGAATTATGAGGGAAAAAAGTATTTGATCCCCTGCTGATTTTGTACGTTTGCCCACTGACAAAGAAATGATCGATCTATAATTTTAATGGTAGGTTTATTTGAACAGTGAGAGACAGAATAACAACAAAAAACACATGTAAAAAATGTATATGTGCTTTCTTGAGCAGGGGGACCTTGCGGGCGCTGCAGGATTTCAGTCCTTCACGGCGTAGTGCGTTACCAATTGTTTTCTTGGTGACTATGGTCCCAGCTGCCTTGAGATCATTGACAAGATCCTCCCGTGTAGTTCTGGGCTGATTCCTCACCGTTTTCATGATCATTGCAACTCCACGAGGTGAGATCTTGCATGGAGCCCCAGGCCGAGGGAGATTGACAGTTATTTTGTGTTTCTTCCATTTGCGAATAATCGCACCAACTGTTGTCACCTTCTCACCAAGCTGCTTGGCGATGGTCTTGTAGCCCATTCCAGCCTTGTGTAGGTCTACAATCTTGTCCCTGACATCCTTTGAGAGCTCTTTGGTCTTGGCCATGGTGGAGAGTTTGGAATCTGATTGATTGATTGCTTCTGTAGACAGGTGTCTTTTATACAGGTAAAAAACTGAGATTAGGAGCACTCCCTTTAAGAGTGTGCTCCTAATCTCAGCTCGTTACCTGTATAAAAGACACCTGGGAGCCAGAAATTTTTCTGATTGAGAGGGGGTCAAATACTTATTTCCCTCATTAAAATGCAAATCAATTTCTAAAATTTTTGACATGCGTTTTTCTGGATTTTTTTGTTGTTATTCTGTCTCTCACTGTTCAAATAAACCTACCATTAAAATTATAGACTGATCATTTCTTTGTCAGTGGGCAAACGTACAAAATCAGCAGGGGATCAAATACTTCTTTCCCTCACTGTAAATGGTAAAGGTTTTGAATGTGAATTTGTAGGCATACTAGTTGTCTTGAGTGAAACAGTGATTGCAGTACTGCTGTTTAGATGCTACTGCAGGTATAATGGTCCACCTCTGACCTTATCTGGCCTGATTGGGGTTTCTTGTGATCCGCTCTGTTGGGAAACACAGTCCTCCATACTACTATACTGTAAGGGTAGGCTACACACACTTTAGGGGACAAGTGCTTCTGTTGACAAAGGCATCATTCATCCACCGCAATCAATAGAGGGTGTAGTCTACCTACCTGATCCTGATATGTATCTGATACCAACAGCCATAAAGTGCTCCCTTGTTATTTTAGCCCTGACTTATTTCTGCCCTTCCCTTTTCCCATAAATACTAGGGCCGGAACGATACCAGTATCGCAATATTTTTTCTATGGCAAAAATGAAAACACGAAGCAGACTAAACTCTTTGGTCCTTTAAAAACCTGCTGTATAAATATTGTGTGCTATAGCTTGGAAATTAAATAAATGTGACTCTGGATGACAACATAATGTTTGTTTCCAACATTAGGGCTGTTTTCCTAAAGTAGTTAAATCCGCATCGTGTTTTACTTCCTTGCCACGATACTAACAACTATACTGGTATCGTCCCGGCCCTAATAAATACATACTATTTGGAGAATGTTGCTGTATGTCTATTTTGGACAGCGTTGTTGTAAGTAGGGATTATCAGCCAAGTGCTTGGAGGAGAGAATGTGTGCCTGATGGATAGGTACGCTTTGTCATTTGAGCTTTCCAAAGTTTTTGTTTACTTCTTCAATCTCAGGGCACCCCATCAGTCTTTTCTCCCAAACACTTTTCAGCAGCCTTCGGCTGGTTCTAGTGTCTGGTTCTTATAACGCTTTCCTGCCTCAATCTAACACAAACACACACACACTCACATACACACGCACACACACACACACACACACACACACCTTTACTTTCATGTTTGAGGTGTGCAGGTACGTAGGTGCTGCCTGAACCAGCATGTAGCAGCCCCCAGAGCCCCCTTGTCCCTCCACCCCTTCCCCCCTCTCCTCCTTCCTTCCCTGGGCCTGGAGTCTGCGGGGCAGCCCCTGTTCCTGCATGTCTTGTCAGAGCTCTGCACTCCCTGACTCACAGGTTGGCTGCCTGGAGATGGGTCTCCCCTTCAAGGCATACAACTTAAACAGTTATCTTTCATCTATAAACACCAGCTTTATTAGGGAAGTGTGAATATCCATGTTCAGGGAAAGGAGGTATGTAGAGTATGCATAGAAGCATGGCTGAGGAATGAAAAATGAGTTTGAACTAATTTCACCCTCAGTTTCTACTGCTTCTCATGTATTTTATTAGGGAGGCGCATACTGTAGAAAAGTTGAGCTGTTTTGGAAAAAAGTTTCCTTTTGTCATTATTGCTTTTGGTATGTGGTCTGCTATGCTTGCATTTCTTTTTCTATGCATTTCTTCTTGCGTTTCTTCCACTCCTGACTGCATGTGCTGCCATATAAATGGAATGCTGCTGCTGCAGGGAGGGGGGCATTGCCTAGGCAACCAAAGAAAAAAAGTTTTATCATGTTGTTATTTGTCCATGTTACCGCACAAATATCCGGCCATCCCGTCTTCAGTCAGCTGTTCATTCCACACACCAAAAATGGTTATGACGGTTATTTTATTTTCATGACGGTCTTCACCCATAACCGTCAGTTATACGGTAATTGTACCAGCCCTAAATGTTATGTTACTTGACTTCCGTTGAGTTTGAAGGGGCTGTAGATGGTCAGATATCAGAGCAGTGTTTCTGATAGAGGGTGAACGGCGCTCAGCTGGCTTCCTGCTCCTCCTGCTCTCCTGCTCTCCTCTAGCCAGTGGTGCACACAGCCTTTGTTGAGGGTTCTATCTGAAAGGAAGTGAGTATTTAAAAAGTTGGGCTCTATAATTGGATCAATATGCAGGGATTTACAGAGTGAGTGACCCATAAACATTTCACTGGCAATGAAATCAGGTCGCTTAGTTTTTTGGTGGACATTTTCACAGAAACATGAGAAAGGAAGAAATCCAGGAATGTATAGTTTTTATGATTTGGTCTTCAGTGATTATTGTGCATGTGGTAACTAGGGCTGAGCGATATGGCCAAAATATCATATCACAGTATTTTTCAAATTGTTAAAGTATGATGATATTTTACTGTATTTTATGTTTATGAATAAAACAAGTTATACATTTGCTTTATGAGTAGTGCGTGACCCTCCTGTTGCAACACATACATTCTAAGTGATTTCAATTGGTCTTTCTCCATTCTGATTGTTTTATACTGTTCAATTCAACTTCAACCCAAAATCATTTCCTGCATTTCCATCAATTTCTACATTTCCTCCACTCATTTGAGATAATTCCCACACTGCCACGTAGGGCTGCACGAGATGGGCAAAAGAAATAGGCCTTATTTTTAACCAAATGTTAAAATTGCGATTTGACTTCCGATTTAGAGCAAAACACTTGGGTGAACTGTTGGAATCAAGGAAATAGAATGTTTATTCTAATTCTATAGTTAGAATATAAATAACAGTGGGCACTTTGAATACAGTGTTGTTTGACATGACAACGAATGAAAATGCCAGGGAGGAGTTATTGTGACAGGGTAGGAACCAAAGAGATGGTCAGTGTTTCCTAGGGGAACCTATAATCTTTGGCTACATTAAGTCTTTCTTCATGTAGCCAACATATTCATGCTCGCCTATTCCTTTTTGATTTAGAAGATTCGGTTGCACAAACAACATACCTACACCAGCACTGGTATTAGGCTGTATTAGCTAGGCGCTACGTTTGCTCTGACTCAGTACATTTATTAGCTAGGTAGCTAACTCGCGATTAGCATTAGCGGCTAACACGATTTAGCTAAAACTTGCTACGAAAATACAAACTAGCTGTTTGCAGATGTAAGAAACACAAACTAATAGTGTAATTATAGAACGCTTGTGGATTTATATTAAGAAACAAATTGGAAACATCGTTGTCATCAACATTGTTGCATGTGCTGCATTGACCATGCAGACTGAACGCAAGTGTCTCCAGAGTTGACAGGTCTAGCTAAAATTTCTAGCCCAATGACTACTCAAAACCCGCCCACAAGGCCTGAAAACTAGCCCACATTTGTTTTTCGCAGCAAGAGAGGAGTTGCCACATTTAGCTAAAGAACCCCTTTTCAATAACCTTATCGAGCAAATTAAGAAGGAATATCAATTTAACTTCTAACGACCTAAAGAAGCAAAATTCGGTTTTCCATCAAAGTAATAATTATTGTGAGCTAATGTGACTAATAAAGGAATTTGAATATGTCGCAAGAGAAAATATAATTTGCCCTTATTAAACTTCAAAAAAATAAATGTTAGGCTATTTTCTGGCACTTGTGCCGTTATTATGTGCCAGATGTTAAGACTACAAACCGTTATAAATGGCCTATTTGCAAGATTGACTTGTCATTTCAATAGGCATAGGCAAGGCCTACTGACTAAAATATGGGTTTATGATTGTAATTCAACTTTGCAATGGTTTGGTTAGCTAGATGCAGGTAGCCTATAACCCTTGATATGCCTACATCTCATGTCAGATAGCCTACAATAGCCTAGGAAAGATGTAGGCAAGATGTAAGATGAATGAGCAGCTTGCTCACTGAATCAAATATTAATAATATGGATATGAACTGTTTAGGCCTATGCTTGTCAACAAAAGCCAGTGTTTTTTTTGTACCTGTAGCCTAATCTGACTGACTGTTACCTTCAATCTAATGCATTCTATTAAACAACTGATCAGCAATTGTGATAGAACTGTGACCATGATCACAATTGATAACTTCCAATTTCATTAACTAAACATGGCCATTAATAATTGCATAATAACACAGGGCTACAACAACAATGAAGTTATAATATAACCTATTTATTAAATCCAGTGGTGTAAAGTACTTAAGTAAAAACACTTTAAAGTACTACTTAAGTACTTTTTTTTGGAGAAGTATCTCTACATTACTCTTTATATTTTTGACAACTTTTACTTTTACTTCACTACATTCCTAAAAATATGATGTACTTTTTACTCCATACATTTTCCCTGACACCCGAAAGTACTCGTTACATTTTGAATGCTTAGCAGGACAGGAAAATGGTCCAAATCACACACTTATCCACAGAACATCCCTGGTCATCCCTACTGCCTCTGATCTGGCGGAATCACTAAACACACACGCTTAATTTGTAAATGATGTCTGAGTGGTGTAGATAGCCCCTGGCTATCCATAAATTTAAAAAACAAGAAAATGGTGCCATCAGGTTTGCTTAATATGAGGAATTTGAAATGATTTATACATTTACTTTTGATAATTAAGTAAATTTAAAACCAAATACTTTCACATTTACTTGAGTCATTTTCTATTAAGGTATCTTTATTTTTACTCAAGTATGACAATTGGATACTTTTTCCACCACTGATTAAATCAATTTGACAGCTCCAGATAGGCTACACAAGTGGCACAAATTGATTTGCATTGACTCCAGTGATATCATAGTTTGAATTTATTTGTTGTATAAAATGGTAGGCTACAGTAGCCTACATAGGCATATAAATGAATAGGCTAATCGATGGCCAACAGATGCAAATGTATCATTCTCCACTTTTAATGTCATTTTCATTGTGGACTTTTCCCATAACAGAAGCACTCGTGCTGCGCTCGAAACCCAAAAACTGAGCATGCGTAAAACCCTTTGCTTCATACGGTTTTCCATGAGCAGACGATATTTGAATGCAGTTTAAAGCACCTCCGAGCGAATTTATCTAATACGCTCTAGAGCGCCTAAACTCGTTTTCCTGTTTCCACCGTTATTTCTTGACACGCATCAGTTCTAGCGCGTTAATATGTTTTATGGAAAAGGGGTTGGAAATACACAACAGGACAAAAGTTTTAGAACACCTACTCATTCAAGGGTTTTTCTTTATTTTTAACATTGTATAATAATAGTGAAGACATCAAAACTATGAAATAACACATATGGAATCATATAGTAACCAAAAAAGTGTTAAACAAATCAAAATATATTTTATATATTAGATTCTTCAAAGTAGCCACCCTTTCCCTTGATGACAGCTTTGCACACTCTTGGCATTCTCTCAAACAACTTCACGTGGAATGCTTTTCCAACAGTCATGAAGGAGTTCCCACATACGCTGAGCACTTGCTGGCTGCTTTTTCTTCACTCTGCGGTCCAAGTCATCCCAAACAATCTCCGTTGGGTTGAGGTCAGGTGATTGTGGAGGCCAGGTAATCTGATGCAGCACTCCATCACTCTCCTTCTTGGTCAAATAGCCCTTACACAGCCTGGAGGTGTGTTGGGTCATTGCTCTGTTGAAAAACAAATGATAATCCCACTAAGCGCAAATCAGATGGGATGGCGTAACGCTGCAGAATGCTGTGGTAGCCATGCTGGTTAAGTGTGCCTTGAATTCTAAATAAATCACTGACAGTGTCACCAGCAAAGCAACCCCACACCATAACACCTCCTCCTCCATGCTTTACGGTGGGAAATACACATGTGGAGATCATCCGTTCACCCACACCGTGTCTCACAAAGACACGACGGTTGGAACCAAAAATCTCAAATTTGGACTCCAGACCAAAGGACAAATTTCCACCGGTCTAATGTCCATTGCTCGTATTTCTTGGCCCAAGCAGGTCTCCTCTTCTTATTGGTGTCCTTTAGTAGTGGTTTCTTTGCAGCAATTTGACCATGAAGGCCTGATTCACACAGTCTCCTCTGAACAGTTTATGTTGAGATGTGTCTGTTACTTGAACTCTGTGAAGCATTTACTTGGGCTGCAATTCTGAGGCTGGTAACACTAATGAACTTATCCTCTGCAGCAGAGGTAACTCTGGGTCTTCCATTCCTGTGGCGGTCCTCATGAGAGCCGGTTTCATCATAGCGCTTGATGGTTTTTGCGACTGAACATAAATAAACTTTCAAAGTTCTTGAAATGTTCCGTATTGACTGACCTTCATGTCTTAAAGTAATGATGGACTGTCGTTTCTCTTTGCTTATTTTAGCTGTTCTTGCCATAATATGGAGTTGGTCTTTTACCAAATAGGGCTATCTTCTGTATACCCCTCCTACCTTGTCACAACACAACTGATTGGCTCAAACACATTAAGAAGGAAAGAAATTCCACAAATTAACTTTTAAGAAGGCACACCTCATGAAGCTGGTTGAGAGAATGCCAAGAGTGTGCAACGCTGTCATCAAAGCAAAGGGTGGCTATTTGAAGAATCTCAAATATAAAATATATTTTGATTTGTTTAACACTTTTTTGGTTACTATATGATTCCATATGTGTTATTTCATAGTTTTGATGTCTTCACTATTATTCTACAATGTAGAAAATAGTAAAAATAAAGAAAAACCCTTGAATGAGTAGGTGTTCTAAAACCTTTGACCGGTAGTGTAGGTGTCTCTGTAATGACAATCTAAATAGTCTGGTCAGCAGCAGCAGGTCACAGTTAAATATATATTTGTATGAAATTTCCATGGCGGCCGCGGTGAAATTTAGGAGAAGCCAAAAAAAGCTGCAACCTGCGACCAATACATTTTCACCCGCAACATTTTTTTCAAAGTAGCCCAATTAATCGGGAAAATCGTAGACATGGCAACCCTGAGTGTCTCGTGGTCAAGCAACAGGAAACGCTCTCCTTGAGTGACAGGGGGCAGGGCTAGGTCTGGTTGGAAATAACATGGAGAGAGAGGGAAAGAGAGAGAGAGAGAGAGCGCGGAGAGGGATGACTCAAATAGGGGTGTAAACTATAAAAATGATCGTTACACATGGCATATCACATTTAAGAAACCAAACATTCAAATACCGTTATAGAAGGTAAAGTAAAAACTCAAGCCAGTCCTTCCATCAATTCCGGTATATAGTAAAATACGGTATACTGCCCAGCCCTAGTGGTAACTGGTAGGGCTGGGATGATACAGGGAGCAGACCAAACTCTTGAAAACAGGAAGCAGACCAAATTTTTCGGTCATTTAAAAAGCTGCTGTATGTAAAATATTGTGTGCTATAGCTTGGAAAATAAATGTGACTATGGATGACAACATAATTATGTTTATTTCCAACATTAGGGCTGTTTTTATAGAGAAGTTAAATCAGATTTGTGTTTTGTTTCCTTGCCACGATACTAACGAGTATCTTGATACTGATCCCAGCCCTAGTAACTAGGCAACATTAATACAAAGCAAATACAGACCAAAAGTGAATAAGAACCCCATGTTCCAGATGGAATTCACAGCATTGAAAAGTAGACCATCTTAGAGAAGACCATGTCAACAAAGGTGAAAGAGAATGGACACAGAACTCGCATCTTTACTGACAAAGTAGAAAGATAGTTTGAATGCTTGAAATCCTTTATCAGTGTTCTATCCCAATGACTTGACTTTACTCCCAGTTACCCACTCAGCAACACTTAAAGACGGCATCATTGGAATCACTCTGTTAGTGGAGCATGTGGGCGTATTGTGACCTGGAGTCTGTCAGTTAATGTTAAGGTCATTACAGAGTAGCTGATGAGAGTGATTTCTATTACCCATAGTTGAATGTGGGTAGCAGGGTGCTTGATTTAGCATTCCATCTCCTAAACATAGAGATAAAGGATATTTGTGTTGTGTCTCCAAAACCAACTTGTCTTGACTCTGTTACTGTGGCTGGACTCTGTCTTCTGGACTGGGAAGTTATGGTCCTTGTTGTTAGGGCTTTGCAGCGAGGCTATCTGCTCATTGTTCTAAACACCCAATAATGGCCCCTCTGAGGGCAGTGACTTGTATGACAATGTAATGCAATGACGGGAAAATAGGAATATTTTCAAGGCAGCAGCAACAAACCCTCTCTTCTCTCTTGTACCCCTCAGTATGTCCTTCATATGGATAGCTGGTTCCACTTACAGAGCATTTTTTTCTCTCCGTCTTATGAAAATACATTTGGCAAATTACTCAGTTGAAGGTCTTAGAGGCTAAGTTCCACAAGCATAACTTCATTGTTTAGAAATGTTCCCATTTCACTGAATGAGACAATGTGTGTCTAGCTCTAAATGCCATACGTAGTTTTAATAGAATTACTTAACCCTATTATGGCCTACCTACCTCTTTTAGTTACAAACCAAATAGTGTTTTAGTGTGGTGTTAGAGGCCTATCAGTATAAGTCATTTGTCATAGTGGACATGAGTGGTTAATGTCATGACATGATTTCATCACTTTATAACGAGAGGGTCAAGTAAAGTGATAGGTTACTAAACTCCCTCGTCTCCCTGACAGCCATGACGAAGCTCTTCATTGTTAGCTTTAGGGCAAATGTTAAGTAAACCAATCCCCATTATTAAACCTCGATGAATGGCATTCCTGTGATATGAATAAGGTGGCTATTATTCATCCTTTATAATAAACACTGTTAGTGGAGATTCCTAAGGGGTTTGGATACACATGGAATATACTGAAGTATATTGTAATCATTGTATCAGCCTGTTTCAATATAGCCATCAGCCAGTAAAAACTTTGCCATGTTGATGATTGGTTTGACAGACTCGATTGTCTCAATGTTGTTCATGACTGTGTTTTTCCTGTTTTTCCCTCCATAGAGACCTGAGGTTCAACAAAATCAAGGACTTACAGCCTGGCTCCTTCAAACGGCTAAAGAACCTCAACACACTGTAAGTCTCCCTCCTTCCACCCTCCTCTATCTATTCCCCTACACACTCAGCAATTGAAAATAGGGTAATTGAATTGGTACCCGGAGAACTCACTGCAAATGCATTTAAACTGAGCATATACACTTACGTAATCACCATTTATCAGGAGTCAACTACTCCTGTAAGCCACATCTCTTCCCAGAAACATCCAGTTCTCTTTGTTTATCTTTTGTCCCAAGACTCAGAAACATGTCACATCATTAGTGGTCCCTGGAAAGTCCTGCAGTCAGTCAGTCCATACACATGAACACTGAGTGGCAGATTCTTGCTCTCTATTCTGTTGTGGCTTCACACATGTAGGTCACCTCATAATCTGGGAGGAATTTATTTTTCCCCTTCACTCTCCCAGCCATCTATCATGGCCCAGCCCTGCTAGCCTGCTAGCCTACAGTCAGCCATGTGGCAGGGAACACCCAATGAGGCTAGTGTGTGAATATGAAGAATTGTTCATGGAGAGAGGTAGGGCCAGGGAATGTTAAGACAGAGAAAGACCAGATGAGATTTTCCTACAGCATCAGATCGACCGGCTAGCAATGTAGTCTATGGAGCTCCATATTTCATAGAGAACTATTCACGGCTTCAACCTCTGTCTCACAGACTGAAGAATAACACTGGATCTAAAGCTTGCTGGTCTTTCAACTGGGTAGACGGTTCAATATTAGTGTCTCAGGCAGACAGAAAAAGATGTCTGGCTCTTACGTGAAGGAAAGACTGGAGGGGCCTACTGCCAGTATTTTTCTGCTTCAGTCTGTGACAGAATGTGTCTAGCTGTCACTCTGAACATTGATTATACAATAGTGTATGTAGAGTTCATCAGTGTTTAAGTTTAAAGAAAAATCCAAGGCAGGGTGCAAAGGCCCCTGGTACAGCATCCATCACCAAAATGTTCAAAAGAAGCCAATTGAGACCAAATGTTTTTAGGCAAAAGAGCGAGGTGAAGAGGCATGTTCTGCCCAATTAATGTTCTCCTTATACAGTACCAGTCAAAGGTTTGGACACACCAACTCATTCCAGGGTTTTTCTTTATTTTTACTATTTTCTACATTGTAGAATAATAGGGAAGACATCAAAACGATGAAATAACACATTTGGAATCATGTAGTAACCAAAAAAGTGTTAAACAAATCAAAATATATTTTCTATTTGAGATTATTCAAATAGCCACCCTTTGCCTTGATGACAGCATTGCACACTTGGCATTCTCCCAACTAGCTTCATGAGGTTGTCACCGGGAATGCATTTCAATTAACAGGTGTGCCTTGTTAAAAATTAATTTGTGGAATTTCTTTCCTTCTTAGTGCGTTTGAGCCAATCAGTTGTGTTGTGACAAGGTAGGGGGGGTATACAGAAGATAGCCCTATTTGGTAAAAGACGAAGTCCATATTATGGAAAGAACAGCTCAAATAAGCAAAGAGAAACGACAGTCCATCATGACTGTAAGACATAAAGGTCAGTCAATCCGGAAAATGTCAAGAACTTTGAAAGTTTCTTCAAGAGCAGTCGCAAAAAACATCAAGCGCTATGATGAAACTGGCTCTCATGAAGACCACCACAGGAAAGGAAGACCCAGAGTTCATTAGAGTTACCAGCCTCAGAAATTACAGCCCAAATAAATGCTTCACAGAGTTCAAGTAACAGACACATCTCAACATCAACTGTTCAGAGGAGACTGCATGAATCAGGCCTTCATGGTCGAATTGCTGCAAAGAAACCGCTACTAAAGGACACCAATAATAAGAAGAGACGTGCTTGGGCCAAGAAACACGAGGAATGGACATTAGATCGTGGAAATCTGTCTTTCAGTTTGATATGTCCAAAATTGAGATTTTTGGTTCCAACCGCCGTGTCTTTGTGAGACGCAGAGTAAGTGAACGGATGATTTCCACATGTGTGGTTCCCACCGTGAAGCATGGAGGAGGAGGTGTGGTGGTGTGGGGTGCTTTGCTGGTGACACTGTCAGTGATTTATTTAGATTTCATGGCACACTTAACCAGCATGGCTACCACAGCATTTTGCAGTGATACGCCATCCCATCTGGTTTGCACTTATCATTTGTTTTTCAACAGGACAATGACCCAACACACCTCCAGGCTTTGTAAGGGCTATTTGACCAAGAAGGAGAGTGATGGAGTGCTGCATTAGATGTCCTGGCCTCCACAATCACCCGACCTCAACCCAATTGAGATGGTTTGGGATGAGTTGGACCGCAGAGTGAAGGGAAAGCAGCCAACAAATGCTCAGCATATGTGGGGACTCCTTCAATACTGTTGGAAATGCATTCCAGGTGAAGCTGGTTGAGAGAATGCCAAGAGTATACAAAGCTGTCATCAAGGCAAAGGGTGGCTACTTTGAAGAATCTCAAATATAAAATATAAAACATTTGTTTAACACTTTTTTGGTTACTAAATGATTCCATATGTGTTATTTCATAGTTTTGATGTCTTCGCTATTATTCTACAATGTAGAAAATAGTAATAAAGAAAAACCCTTGAATGAGTAGGTTTGTCCAAACCTTTGACTGGTACTGTACATATCATACCCTTTTCCAAAACAGATTTTTCTGCATTAATGCCCATTTCTTTGGCACTAAGTTGAGGGATCACCAACTAGGGCCTTTATTGGAAAATGATTTTGTAGTGTTGCAGAAAGTCAGTGACAGCCATTCTTTTTCCTTGTCCAGATTTTGCCTCATAGATCTGGCAGCCATTAGAAATGCAGAACAAATTGTGACAGTCTGTAGGAATCGAACCAGATGCTCTATAGAACAGCTACAATGTGCCAGGGATCTGAACTATATTATGTACTCTGGAAGGTTGAACTGTGTTTAAACTGGCATTGGCCTAGCATTAGATCATGACACAATAGTATGCCAGCATGGGCCACTTTCAACTTGTTTCTACTAGTCGGTATGGATTCATTTTGTGTAAGTGTAATACTCCATTGGGAGGTCTTTCAAATAATGGCCATTCTCTTGACTTTACAGCCTCCTCAACAACAACCACATCAGACGGATACCCAGAGGAACCTTTGAAGACCTGGAAAATCTCAAATATCTGTGAGTTGTTATGCTTTTATGTCAATGTTATTCTCTTCTGAATGTCAAGTCATTGATCGATTGGTTTCATTGAAACAGTGTGGCAGCCATTTTCTCTGACAGGCCCAATAGGCCAAGGGTTGTTGTTTGAGTTTCACTCTGCTCCTCGTCGGCTGATGATTAAGCATTGGGAAACCTGTCTCGAACTTCTGTCTGGAAACAAAACACAAACACACTATGTGGCTGTAAATTGGACGTTGCTACATTGCTCAGTCAGAACAGAACAAGTGTGTTACTGTGGTAAATGAAATGAAGTAAGACAAAAAAAAAGAACCCCCATTGTCTAATCCTCTGTACTTATCTGTCTCTGCGTGGTGACCTGAAGGCAATGAGGAGTACAGAGGTGGGCTTGAGCAGCAGTCAGGCAACACGGGTTATGCAGTATGGTTTAGTTTCAAGTTTTAATGTCACATGCACAAGTACAGTGAAATGACTTTCTTGCAAGCTCTAACCCCAACAATGCAGTAATCAATAACAATGTAATACTAAAAAGAGAACAAAAACACGCAAGATATAAAAATAAGAAGAACACGATAAAGTATGTAAGCATACTATATACAGGGCCTGTTCCAGTACCATATTTACAATGTGCAGGGTACTGGATCGATAGAGGTAGATATGTATAGGGGTATGGTGACTAGGCACCAGGATTATGATAAACAGTGTAGCAGCAGCATATATGATAATTGTATGTGAGTGGGTGTGTGTAGAGTCTGTATAAATGTATATGCATATTATGTGTATGTGAGCAATTGATGGAGTGAGTGTTTGTATGTGTGTTGGAGTATCAGTGTGCATAGTGCAGGGTTCCCCAACTGGCGGCCCGCCGACCAAATTTGGCCCGCGGGTAGATTTATTTGGCCCCCCATGTTTTCGGAGCAAGAAATTATAATTATCGATCAGTGGATAATATATATTTTTTAATGTATGGCACACGAGACACCTGTCTGATTCACGTCTGTCTGAGTGGACTAATCCATTGCGGAGGCACACCAGTATCACCAGTAGTACATTTACCGGTAATTACCATCATTTTTAATCAACAAAGTTTATTTGGTTACAGTAATTTCTGTTAATGCATTCAATATATCATTATTAGTCTTACCGTTGTCATTGTAGGAGTGGACATGTTGTTTGCAGAGTGCACAACCTAGGCTACCAAATGTTTTGGTTTATTTCATTCCATTTACTAGTCAATTTATTAATTGTCTTTTGTTTGGAGCGCTCCTGTCAATCTTGAGTAAGGACACACACCTGATTACGCATAGAAGTAGGCCTAGGCTACCTGGCCTGCGCACAAATGTAAATGTAAATGTGCCCATTTAGGGATCTGATACTATTTCTGATTGTCTTAACTCACCATCAAAGTGGAGCTACTTTTTATAGGTTGCAAGTTTGCTAGCAGGAGCTTTGGGCCAAACCAAGTTAATAGTTAATACAATGTTTCAAGTTCCTTGCAGACAAGCCATGCGTAGCTAATGTGATTCATGGGATATTTATTTTTATCCGGATATTTTCTACCTGCGGGCTGCAATGCTTTTATTTGTTGGCTATTTTTACATATGTGACCGACCGGCTCGATTCGGTCTTATGTAGCAACATTTGAAATTGTGTTTTTTACATTGGATAAACGTAGAGACTCAGAGCTAAAAAATTGTATATCATACACTACAGTTGAGGAACAATGGGAAAGTAATTCAGCTTTGAAAGTTGATAAACTTGTAACCTCACTTTTGAGAAAATGGTCCTTGAATGTATTGGCACACCTACTGGAGAGCTCTTCTTTGTCTACACCCATTCAGCATCGTTCACACCCTCTTAAGCTTTAGCCCCACCCAGCTCTTTAAGGATTCACATGTGAGGCCATGTACTAAACAACCAAAGATTTCAAGACTAAAAGCTTGTTTATACAACGGGTGTGTTCGTAAATTCAATTTGGAGTGCCAGACTGTGCTCAGAGTGCGCTCTGGACGTTCGTAAACTCAGAGCGTTGTTAGATTGTCTGTTCGTAAATTCAGAGCGGTTCGCTCTCGGAGCGTTCAGAGCGCACACTGGACACTCTGGCCGAGGAGCAGGGTTGATCCAAGCGTTCTGACCTAACAACAGCAGTCAAGCACCCAAGCTAACTGGCTAACGTTGGCTAGCTTGCTAGCTACTTCCAGACACAAATGAGGGAACAGCTCACTCTGACCATTTTACTCGCCCTAGCAGAGATGGTTAGGGTGTTTTTATGTTATCCAGAGCGTTGGTGACTGCAACTGTGCTGCTGGCAACAATTTAATTACGCCTTTTTGCCAACGTTTACTGACACCAGCCATATTCAATGGGTGTTGAGCGTTCGCAAATTCGTCAGTTATTCTGCACTCTGGCACACTCAGATGAGTGCTCTGAAATGGGAGTAGATAGCCATGCAATGGCAATAGAAGTTACTTTTAGGTTTGTATCATTTTCATTTAGATAGAATTTTGATTAAACACATGACATTTATTTTGAGATATGGAGACTTTATTATAAATTAAATGAAACTGTTCCACGAAAATGTGCATATGAAAATCATAACTGGCATGCAGATCAGTAGAAATGGTAAGATAACTTGGCACTCCAAATTGAAAACGTTGCCGAACAGGTATTTTTTCTTCTGGTTAGGCTAAATTGATATCTGGCTCCCTCTTTAGTAATTTCTGTGTCTTAAGATTTTATTCAAAGGGTGTGTCTATACAGTTGAAGTCGGAAGTTTACATACACATTTACATTTTAGTCATTTAGCAGACGCTCTTATCCAGAGCGACTTACAGGAGCAATTAGGGTTAAGTGCCTTGCTTAAGGGCACATCGACAGATTTTTCACCTAGTCGGCTCGGGGATTAGAACCAGCGACCTTTCGGTTACTGGCACAACGCTCTTACCCACTAAGCTACCTGCTTAGGTTGGAGTCATTAAAACTTGTTTTTCAACCACTCTACACATTTCTTGTTAACAAACTATAGTTTTTGCAAGTCGGTTAGGACATTTATTTTGTGCATGACACAAGTAATTTTTCCAACAATTGTTTACAGACATTATTTCACTTATAATTCAATGTATCACAATTCCACTGGGTCAGACGTTTACATACACTAAGTTGAAAGTGCCTTTATATAGCTTGGAAAATTCCACAAAATGATGTCATGGCTTTAGAAGCTTCTGATAGGCTAATTGACATAATTTGAGTCAATTGGAGGTGTACCTGTGGATGTATTTCAAGGCCTACCTTCAAACTCAGTGCCTCTTTGCTTGACATCATGGGAAAATCAAAGAAATCAGCCAAGACCTCCACAAGTCTGGTTCATCCTTGGGAGCAATTTCCAAACGCCTGAAGGTACCACGTTCATCTGTACAAACAATAGTACGCAAGTATAAACACCATGGGACCACGCAGCCGTCATACCGCTCAGGAAAGAGACGCGTTCTGTCTCCTAGAGATGAATGTACTTTGGTGCGAAAAGTGCAAATCAATCGCAGAACAACAGCAAAGGACCTTGTGAAGATGCTGGATGAAACAGGTACAAAAATATCTATATCCACAGTAAAACGAGTCCTATATCGACATAAGCTAAAAGGCCGCTCAGCAAGGAAGAAGCCACTGTTCCAAAACCACAATAAAAAAGCCAGACTATGGTTTGCAACTGCACATGGGGACAAAGATCATACTTTTTGGAGAAATGTCGTCTGGTCTGATGAAACAAAAATAGAACTGTTTGGCCATAATGACCATCGTTGTGTTTGGAGGAAAAAGGGGGTCGCTTGCAAGCCGAAGAACACCATCCCAACCGTGAAGCACGGGGGTGGCAGCTTCATGCTGTGGGGGTGCTTTGCTGCAGGAGGGACTAGTGCACTTCACAAAATAGATGGCATCATGAGGAAGGAAAATTATGTGGCTATATTGAAGCAACATCTCAAGACATCAGTCAGGAAGTTAAAGCTTGGTCGCAAATGGGTCTTCCAAATGGACAATGACCACAAGTATACTTCCAAAGTTGTGGCAAAATGGCTTAAGGACAACAAAGTCAAGGTATTGGAGTGGCCATCAGAAAGCCCTGACCTCAATCCTATAGAAATTGTGTGGGCAGAACTGAAAAAGCGTTTGCGAGCAAGGAGGCCTACAAACCTGACTCAGTTACACCAGCTATGTCAGGAGGAATGGGCCAAAATTCACCCAACTTATTGTGGGAAGCTTGTGGAAGGCTACCTGAAACGTTTGACCCAAGTTAAACAATTGAAAGGCAATGCTACCAAATACTAATTGAGTGTATGTAAACTTCTGACCAACTGGGAATGTGATGAAAGAAATAGAAGCTGAAATAAATCATTCTCTACTATTATTCTGACATTTCACATTCTTAAAATAAAGTGGTGATCCTAACTGACCTAAGACAGGGCATTTTTAAATGTATTTGGCTAAGGTGTATGTAAACTTCCGATTACAACTGTATATGGAAAAATACACGTATACAAATGTTGACCAATCGATTGGTCGAAAGAACAGATTTTTTTTAGTCGGGGACAGCCCTAAAATATATTATATTTGCCTAATGGCAAATCAGATTATCTTTGTTAGTCACTCCCCATTATAACCCCAGCTCCCGTCAGTTGTGGTGGAAACGATGTCTGTGTTTACATTCACATGCGATAAGTATTTCTGAAATGTCTCTCTAGCCTGTCCACCTACTCAGTCTCATCTTCCCCTCCATTAACCTTCTCATCTCCTCCTTTCACCCCCGGGTTAGATCATTTAGACCTTCAGCCCACCAGGCTCACTGTAGGCGTTGGAATGGTTGAACTGTACAAAACTTTGATTAGATATTTTTTGGCTGTTCTGTAGATCTCTGCTTTGTCTTTACTCATAGCTGATTATCATGTGATTGATAAGTTCATGAGAATAACTTGAGACAGACAAATTAAGTAAAATCCTACTTTGGTGTGTGTAGATACTGATATTCCAAATGCATAGCGTGTCCGAAACTACCATCTGTATTGGTTTTGCAAAGTAATTTTTAACATGAATATTATAAATAAGAAGACAGTATCTGGGACAGAGGCCATTATGTCATGAGGTCCAGTTCTGCTTAGTTACCTCAAACATCTCAGACAAACAATGTTTCTGAGGCTAGCTCGTCAACTGCTGTAGAGGAGGGGAAGGCTGGGGGATGTGTCAGTCACTCACGCACACACACACACACACACACACACACACACACACACACACACACACACACACACACACACACACCTCTCCTCTTTGAATGCTGTAACTGCAGCGTAGCGGGGGTGACTCCCATGGTTGTTTGTCTAGTTTTAATTATAAGGCCCTGTCCCATTAAAGCAGAGATAATCTGAGGCCAGCACACTGACCATGCCCTTGTGATCAACCCTTTACCCCTGCACCTCTCACCCTGCCATCATAGCCTGGGGGATTGTCCCTCTACCTCCCTTAGGCCCCAGTAAAGCCCCCTCCCTGAGGTCTTTCATGTGCCCTCCACTGTATGACCTGACAGAAGTCTGGACAGCCCCTTTAAGGGTCAGCTCTTGGTCAAAGGGTCTAGTGTTACGGGAATATGATTCATGGTAATGACTAATGTCAGAAGTCTTTCCTGACCATCTGATGTAATCTAGAAGTAAGTAGCCTTAGCTTGTGCCAGCCGGAATGATTCATAGGAGCAGGAGTCTCTCCTGTTTCTGTAGTGTGTAGTGCTGAGCGATTTGTGCTTTTTGAGGTCGGTAAGGTTTTGGTTCGATTATTAAACAAGAATCAATGGTTTTTGATTTCGGTTTCGCTATATATTTTTTTACATTAAATGCACTATGCATTATGTGGGTTGAATACTATAACACAGAATAAAACAATTAACAACAGACACATGATGGTAGTGACTGCCCATTACTGCTTACAGTGGCTTGGGAAAGTATTCACCCCCCTTGGCATTTTTCCTATTTTGTTGTCTTACAACCTGGAATTAAAATTGATTTTTTGGGGGGTTTGTATCATTTGATTTACACAACATGCCTACCACTTTGAAGATGCAAAATATTTTTTGGGGTGAAAAACAGAAAACTTGAGCGTGCATAACTATTCACCCCCCCCCAAAGTCAATACTTTGTAGAGCCACCATTTGCAGCAATTACAGCTGCAAGTCTCCATAAGCTTGGCACATCTAGCCACTGGGATTTTTGCCCATTCTTCAAGGCAAAACTACTCCAGCTCCTTCAAGTTGAATGGGTTCCGCTGGTGTACAGCAATCTTTAAGTCATACCACAGATTCTTAATTGGATTGAGGTCTGGGCTTTGAGTAGGCCATTCCAAGACATTTAAATGTTTCCCCTTAAACAACTCAAGTGTTGCTTTAGCAGTATGCCTATGGTCATTGTCCTGCTGGAAGGTGAACCTCTGTCCCAGTCTCAAATCTCTGGAAGACTGAAACAGGTTTCCCTCAAGAATTTCCCTATATTTATCCCATCCATCATTCCTTCAATTCTGACCAGTTTCACAGTCCCTGCCGATGAAAAACATCCCCACAGCATGATGCTACCACCACCATGCTTCACTGTGAGGATGGTGTTCTCGGGGTGATGAGACGTGTTGGGTTTTCGCCAGACATAGCGTTTTCCTTGATGGCCAAAAAGCTCAATTTTAGTCTCATCTGACCAGAGTACCTTCTTCCATATGTTTGGGGAGTCTCCCACATGCCTTTTGGCGAACAACAAACGTGTTTGCTTATTTTTTTCTTTAAGCAATGGCTTTTTTCTGGCCACTCTTCCGTAAAGCCCAGCTCTGTTGAGTGTACGGGTTAAAGTGGTCCTATGGACAGATACTCCAATCTCCACTGAGTAGCATTGCAGCTCCTTCAGGGTTATCTTTGGTCTCTTTGTTGCCTCTTTGATTAATGCCCTCCTTGCCTGGTCCGTGAGTTTTGGTGGGCGGCCCTCTCTTGGCAGGTTTGTTGTGGTGCCATATTCTTTCCATTTTTTAATAATGGATTTAATGGTGCTCCGTAGGATGTTCAAAGTGTCTGATATTTTTTTATAACCCAACCCTGATCTGTACTTCTCCACAACTTTGGCCCTGACCTGTTTGGAGAGCTCATTGGTCTTAATGGTGCTGCTTGCTTGTTGGTGTCCCTTGCTTATTGGTGTTGCAGACTCTGGGGCCTTTCAGAACAGATGTATATATACTGAGATCATGTGACAGATCATGTGACACTTAGATTGCACACAGGTGGACTTTATTTAACTAATTATGTGACTTCTGAAGGTAATTGGTTGCACCAGATCTTATTTAGGGGCTTCATAGCAAAGGGGGTGAATACAAATGCACGCACCACTTTTCCGTTATTTATTTTTTAGAATTTTTTGAAACAAGTTATTTATTTAATTTCACTTCAACAATTTGGACTATTTTGTGTATGTCCATTACATGAAATCCAAATAAAAATCCATTTAAATTACAGGTTGTAATGCAACAAAATAGGAAAAACGCCAAGGGGGGTGAATACTTTTACAAGGCACTGTATTAACCATCATTTATTCACATTACTTTATTTTAATAAAATATTTCAGTTGTTGTGTATATTACATTTGTTTTATTTTATGACTTTATTATTTCATTCCAAGTCATCATCTCATCTATATAGAACTGCTGCCTTTGCTCTGTCAAAATCACTATTTTGTAGTTCTTCAAAGTAAATAAGGCATACTTTTATGACTGTTGAATACCAACTATCAATCACTTAGATCATGTATTTTCGGGTAGAGATACATCACGAATCAACACCTGCTCTCTGTATATCCTCATGCGATTGTGCATTCTTAAAAGAAACACAGACCGGACAAGTAGATGCGCAATGGATTATGGTCATTGTAGTTAATTACCATGTTTTACGCACTAAATTTAGTAGAATTTTGGCCTGTTGGAAACTACAACATCGCACGTTCGGAATGGATCTGATTTATCTCTAGAGACACTGTGCAATGTGCCCATGGAGCTCACAGGAAAAATAAATAAATAAATAGAATTCAAATAATTTTACCGACATCGGTCAATTAGTTGTTCAAAAACAGAAAAATTACCGAAATTACGGTTAATCGATCAGCACTAGTAGTGGGAGGCAGCTTGATGTACAAGTACACCCTGTCCCATGTGATCTTTAAGCTATAGCCTAACCAGGGCTCTTGAGTATCGTCCCAGTCAGGTCACATGGTCAGGAAGCACTCAGGGCCTTACTTATCTGTGATCTAAATCCAAATCTCCTGTTGTGGTTTGTTGTGGTTTCTGTTGCTGTTATTTTTGTCTGATTGAGTTTTACCCTGGCATTGGGTCAGGTTGCATAGTTAGACATTTCATTAGATAGTCAGAGATTACGGACCGAGATTACGTTACAGGCCTTGGGTTCTTCTCAGTATTCTGTCATTGGCAGTGAGGAATAACATCTCTCTTTGTGTCTCTCGAACAGTTTCACAACACATGTTTGCGGGTGTACAGTCAGACTAAAATGGCGGGTCAGTTGAGTTCTCATTGAACTGTATAAGGATGAAGCCACAGAGGCTTTGGAGTAATTCAAGCAAAAGGCCTCAGTACTCTTCCCCTCGAGAGTTGACCATACAGCTCCCGACTCCATCCGGTTTCCCACGCAGACCCCACACTTCCAGGCCTCAGCACTCTCTCTCTCTCTCTCTCTCTCTCTCTCTCTCTCTCTCTCTCTCTCTCTCTCTCTCTCGCTCTCTCTCTCTCTCTCTCTCTCTCTCTCTCTCTCACAGACGACACACACACACACAGCATACAGTTGAAGTCGGAAGTTTACATACACTTAGGTTGGAGTTATTAAAACTCATTTTTCAACCACTCCACACATTTGTTGTTAACAAACTATAGTTTTGGCAAGTCGGTAGGACCTCTACTTTGTGCATGACACAAGTAATTTTTCCAACAATTGTATACAGACAGATTATTTCACTTATAATTCACTGTATCACAATTCCAGTGGGTCAGAAGTTTACATACAATAAGTTGACTGTGTCTTTAAACAGCTTGGAAAATTCCAGAAAATGATGTCATGGCTTTAGAAGCTTCTGATAGGCTAATTGACATATTTTGAGTCAATTGGAGGTGTACCTGTGGATGTATTTCAAGGCCAACCTTCAAACCCAGTGCCTCTTTGCTTGAAATCATGGGAAAATCAAAGGAAATCAGCCAAGACCTCAGAAAAAAAACTGTAGACCTCCACAAGTCTGGTTCATCCTTGGGAGCAATTTCCAAACACCTGAAGTCTCAAGGTTTTGCTCGCCTGAGGTAGAGTATCTCACGATAAGATGTAGACCACACTATTTAACAAGAGAGTTTTCTTCTATATTTTTCGTAGCTGTCTATATACGACCACAAACCAATGCTGGCTCTAAGACTGCACTCATTGAGCTGTATAAGGCCATAAGTAAACAGGAAAACGCTCATTCAGAGGCAGCGCTCCTAGTGGCCGGGGACTTTAATGTAGGGAAACTGAAATCCATTCTACCTATTTTCTACCAGCATGTTAAATGTGCAACCAGAGGAAAAAAACTCTAGACCACCTTTACTCCACACACAGAGACGCATACAAAGCTGTCCCTCGCCCTCCATTTGGCAAATCTGACCATAACTCTATCCTCCTTATTCCTGCTTATAAGCAAAAACTAAAGCAGGAAGCACCAGTGACTCGGTTAATAAAAAAGTGGTCAAATGACACAGATGCTAAGCTACAGGACTGTTTTGCTAGCACAGACTGGAATATGTTCCGGGATTCTTCAGATAGCATTGAGGAGTACACCACATCAGTCACTGGCTTCATCAATAAGTGCATCGATGACGTCGTCCCCACAGTGACCGTACGTACATACCCCAACCAGAAGCCATGGATTACAGGCAACATCCGCACTGAGCTAAAGGCTAGAGCTGCCGCTTTCAAGGAGCGGGACTCTAACCCGGACGCTTATAAGAAATCCCGCTATGCCCTCCGACGAACCATCAAACAGGCAAAGAGTCAATACAGGACTAAGATTGAATCGTACTACACCGGCTCTGACGCTCGTCGAATGTGGCAAGGCTTGAAAACTATTACAGACTACAAAGGGAAGCACAGCCGCATGCTGCCCAGTGACACAAGCCTACCAGACGAGCTAAATCAATTCTATGCTCGCTTCGAGGCAAGCAACACGGAGGCATGCATGAGAGCACCAGCTGTTCCGGATGACTATGTGATCACGCTCTCCGTAGCCGATGTGAGTAAGACTTTTAAGCAGGTCAACATTCACAAGGCCGCAGGGCCAGACGGATTTCAAGGACATTTTCAACATATCCCTGACTGAGTCTGTAATACCAACATGTTTCAAGCAGACCACCATAGTCCCTGTGCCCAAGGACACTAAGATAACCTGCCTAAATGACTACCGACCCGTAGCACTCACGTCTGTAGCCATGAAGTGCTTTGAAAGGCTGGTCATGGCTCATATCAACACCATTATCCCAGAAACCCTAGACCCACTCCAATTTGCATACCGCCCCAACAGATCCACAGATGATGCAATCTCTATTGCACTCCACACTGCCCTTTCCCACCTGGACAAGAGGAACACCTACGTGAGAATGCTATTCATTGACTACAGCTCAGCGTTCAACACCATAGTGCGCTCAAAGCTCATCACTAAGCTAAACTGGGACTAAACACCTCCCTCTGCAACTGAATCCTCGACTTCCTGACGGGCCACCCCCAGGTGGTAAGCGTAGGTAACAACACATCTGCCATGCTGATCTTCAACACAGGGGCCCTTCAGGGGTGCGTGCTCAGTCCCCTCCTGTACTCCCTGTTCACCCATGATTGCATGGCCAGGCACGACTCCAACACCTTCATTAAGTTTGCCGACGACACAACAGTGGTAGGCCTGATCACAGACAACGATGAGACAGCCTATAGGGAGGAGGTCAGAGACCTGGCTGTGTGGTGCCAGGATAACAACCTCTCCCTCAACGTGATCAAGACAAAGGAGATGATTGTGGACTACAGGAAAAAAAAGAGGAATGAGCACGCACTCATTCTCATCGACGGGGCTGTAGTGGAACAGGTTGAGAGCTTCAAGTTCCTTGGTGTCCACATCACCAACAAACTATCATGGTCCAAACACACTAAGACAGTCATGAAGAGGGCACGACAAAGCCTATTCCCCCTCAGGAGACTGAAAAGATTTGGCATGGGTCCTCAGATCCTCAAAAAGTTCTACAGCTGCACCATCAAGAGCATCCTGACTGGTTGCATCACCGCCTGGTATGGCAACTGCTTGGCCTCTGACCGCAAGGCACTACAGAGGGTAGTGCGTACGGCCCAGTACATCACTGGGGCCAAGCTTCCTGCCATCCAGAACCTCTATACCAGGCGGTGTCAGAGGAAGGCCCTCAAAATTGTCAAAGACTCCAGCCACCCTAGTCATAGACTGTTCTCTCTGCTACCGCACGGCAAGCGGTACTGGAGCTCCAAGTCTAGGTCCAAAAGGCTTCTCAACAGCTTCTACCCCCAAGCCATAAGACTCCTGAACAGCTAATCATGGCTACCCGGACAATTTGCACTCAATCCTATAGAAAATGTGTGGGCAGAACTGAAAAAGCGTTTGCGAGCAAGGAGGCCTCCAAACCTGACTCAGTTACACCAGCTATGTCAGGAGGAATGGGCCAAAATTCACCCAACTTATTGTGGGAAGCTTGTGGAAGGCTACCTGAAATGTTTGACCCAAGTTAAACAATTGACAGGCAATGCTACCAAATACTAATTGAGTATAGGATTAAATGTCAGGAATTGTGAAAAACTGAGTTTAAATGTATTTGGCTAAGGTGTATGTAAACTTCCGACTTCAACTGTATGTTTTACTATCCTTGTGGGGACCAAACATTTTTTTCTATTCAAAATCCTATTTTCCCTAACCTTAACCCTTAGCTCCTAACCCTAACCCCTAACCCTAATTCTTACCCTAATTTTAATCGTTAAACCTAACCCCTAAGCCTAAAACAGCCTTTGTCTTCGTGGGTACCTGGGAAATTGTCAGTTTTATTTTAATTTAAAATCAAATAAAATTGTATTTGTCATATAGACGTGTTTAGCAGATGTTATTGCGGGAGTAGCGAAATGCTTGTGCTTCTAGCTCCGACAGCGCATTAATATCTCACAAGTAATATTTAACAATTTCACAACATACAGTGGGGAAAAAAAGTATTTAGTCAGCCACCAATTGTGCAAGTTCTCCCACGTAAAAAGATGAGAGAGGCCTGTAATTTTCATCATAGGTACACGTCAACTATGACAGACAAAATGAGAAAAGAAAATCCAGAAAATCACATTGTAGGATTTTTAATGAATTTATTTGCAAATTATGGTGGAAAATAAGTATTTGGTCAATAACAAAAGTTTCTCAATACTTTGTTATATACCCTTTGTTGGCAATGACACAGGTCAAACATTTTCTGTAAGTCTTCACAAGGTTTTCACACACTGTTGCTGGTATTTTGGCCCATTCCTCCATGCAGATCTCCTCTAGAGCAGTGATGTTTTGGGGCTGTCGCTGGGCAACACAGACTTTCAACTCCCTCCAAAGATTTTCTATGGGGTTGAGATCTGGAGACTGGCTAGGCCACTCCAGGACCTTGAAATGCTTCTTACGAAGCCACTCCTTCGTTGCCCGGGCGGTGTGTTTGGGATCATTGTCATGCTGAAAGACCCAGCCACGTTTCATCTTCAATGCCCTTGCTGATAGAAGGAGGTTTTCACTCAAAATCTCACGATACATGGCTCCATTCATTCTTTCCTTTACACGGATCAGTCGTCCTGGTCCCTTTGCAGAAAAACAGCCCCAAAGCATGATGTTTCCACCCCCATGCTTCACAGTAGGTATGGTGTTCTTTGGATGCAACTCAGCATTCTTTGTCCTCCAAACACGACGAGTTGAGTTTTTACCAAAAAGTTATATTTTGGTTTCATCTGACCATATGACATTCTCCCAATCCTCTTCTGGATCATCCAAATGCACTCTAGCAAACTTCAGACGGGCCTGGACATGTACTGGCATAAGCAGGGGGACACGTCTGGCACTGCAGGATTTGAGTCCCTGGCGGGGTAGTGTGTTACTGATGGTAGGCTTTGTTACTTTGGTCCCAGCTCTCTGCAGGTCATTTACTAGGTCCCCCCGTGTGGTTCTGGGATTTTTGACCCCACGGGGTGAGATCTTGCGTGGAGCCCCAGACCGAGGGAGATTATCAGTGGTCTTGTATGTCTTCCATTTCCTAATAATTGCTCCCACAGTTGATTTCTTCAAACCAAGCTGCTTACCTATTGCAGATTCAGTCTTCCCAGCCTGGTGCAGGTCTACAATTTTGTTTCTGGTGTCCTTTGACAGCGCTTTGGTCTTGGCCATAGTGGAGTTTGGAGTGTGACTGTTTGAGGTTGTGGACAGGTGTCTTTTATACTGATAACAAGTTCAAACAGGTGCCATTAATACAGGTAACGAGTGGAGGACAGAGGAGCCTCTTAAAGAAGAAGTTACAGGTCTGTGAGAGCCAGAAATCTTGCTTGTTTGTAGGTGACCAAATACTTATTTTCCACCATAATTTGCAAATAAATTCAATAAAAATCCTACAATGTGATTTTCTGGATTTTTTTCTCTCAATTTGTCTGTCATAGTTGACGTGTACCTATGATGAAAATTACAGGCCTCTCTCATCTTTTTAAGTGGGAGAACTTGCACAATTGGTGGCTGACTAAATATTTTTTTCCCCCACTGTATACCCAATACACACAAATCTAGTTTGAATGGAATTTAAGAATATATACATATATGGACAAGCAATGACAGAGCGGCATGGACTAAGATACAGTAGAATATTCCGGTACCCACAAGGATAGTAATACAAGCCCACTCTCACACACACACACACACACACATGTCCATATGCTTCTGGGTGTTCGGCTTTTGCTACAATCAGCCTCAATGTCCTCAGGCTGCCTGTAAACCAACTCTCTGAGATAAGCTAAACATTCAGACTCCATAGTCTTACAGCAACAAGTCCACAGTTCTTTGGCTGTGGAGCAACATGGTGCTTTCAATTTCACCAATAACAGTAAGTCTACTCAGTTGATGTCTGTTTGACAAGATCGATGTTCAATTTGCCTCATCACCCTTGTTGACATGTAAAGTTTAGTAAGGAAGATATGCTGTCTGGATATATTTGTCATCAAATGCATTTACATTTACATTTTAGTCATTTAGCAGACGCTCTTATCCAGAGCGACTTACAGGAGCAATTAGGGTTAAGTGCCTTGCTCAAGGGCACATCGACAGATTTTTCACCTAGTCGGCTTGGGGATTAGAACCAGCGACCTTTCGGTTACTGGCACAACGCTCTTACCCACTAAGCCACCTGCCGCCCATACTGTCAAGAAATGAAAAGGTTATTTATGTGTTGGTTATGTAAGAGCCTAGAACAGCATCTATTGTACTGTATATGTGATAAATGAGAGGCCATGTGTGTGTTTGACAGAGAAGATGACTCTCAGTTCATTCCCCCCAGGATGTTTCCAATCTTTACATTTGTCATCTATTTAATGGAATCTGTACCTAATTTTAAACCAATCATGCAGTGATATAGCTAATATTCATTTATTGTGATAACTGAGTGGATGGACCTTCTAACTGTAAAAATACTATTTAAAACATTGAACCAATAAAGTCGGTTTTATGATTGCTCCTTTCATACAGTAACTGGGCCATTCAACTAAGACATTCTCTCATTGTCAGAATCAGAATCAGCAAGTACATTTACGCATACCCAGAATTTTACTTGGTGACATGGTGCTGCTACCAATAAACAACATATAGAGACAGAAACAGGAATTTACACAAAGTTTACAAACATTTATACAAAAAATATATATAGAACATAGAACTGTGGAATTCGTGAAAATGTACAGTGAGGAATGTATCATTTACAGTATAAATAATGTATCTAAATGCAGAAGTAGGGACTTGTGTTAGGTACTAGAGAGAATTCATTTGATTTGTTTTTGACTAATATTACTGATTATTTCTCCTTTCAGCTATTTGTACAAGAATGAAATCCAATCAATTGACAGACAAGCATTTAAGGGACTTGTCTCTCTAGAGCAACTGTAAGTGACCACCTCCTCATCCTCCTTTTCCTCCTACTCGCCCTCCTTCCTCCCATTCCCCTCTGCACCTTTATATCTGATTGTCCGTCTGTCCGGACCCCCACCTTGCGACCCCCACCCCACGGTGTCATACCGCCCCTATGCATGCCGTGTGTGCACCCACCCTTGTATGTCGCGCTGACACTATGAACCCCTGCATGAGTAGCATGCCTCGTTGCCACGACAACGGATGTGCGTTACCTGGTCCTAGTGCGGAAAGATACAGCATGAGATGCCCTGCCCTACCCTGTCTTGCCCTACCCTGTCTTGCCCTGCCCACACACTACCGTAGCTAATCAGATGCAGACTGAAGCAGGCCTTGGCTTCCCATGTACTTAGACTACAGATCCAGCTCCTGCTTGCCCCATGCCATGCTGCACAGCTTGCCCTTCACTGTGGGCCCCATTCAGACTTGAGATAAGTACACTGAACATGGACTTAAGTCAATATCTTACAGTAAGTTCATGTTAAATCAACATATCTCAAGTCTGAAAAGGGCCCTGTGTGTCTGACTACTGTACTGTACGCTGACTGCTTGTCTCACCTTTGACCTTACTTGTCATTGTCCATCTAGTTGTGTTATGCACTAGTTCTGTTGTTTCATAGAGGGCCCCCACGCATTTCCCAAGCAGAGTGATCGAGGTCACCATGTGCCTATTACATGTGCTTATTATGTCTATGAGACATACCTTCAGTATCGGCATGAGAAAGGATGGCTCAAATCTGTAAAAATGTACTTGTGACCTTAAGCTATCAATGTGATATGATTGGGCACAATCAATGTACATTTCTATCATCTTTTCCCAATTGCCTGTTGTCTCAATGACTTGACTATGTTCAAATCATCCCAGAAATTAGATTAATTTCAGATTCTGTTTATTGATGTAATGGTTTTGTTGTGTCTGGTAAATGTTGAGTGTTTGTTGGACACCAAGGCTCATACAGAACATACAACAAAGCAAGCTGTCTGTGCAGAGTAGTAAAACATGTATAGACCACCAATGCCATGAACTGAAATGGCCTTCTTTTAGTAAGCCAATAGTTGAACAATTCCTTCAACAATAAACTATTTTATGATGCAACTGTTGCCAAATGCTGTGTTTAGTGAGATTGTTATTGTTGGTTAACCCTTCTGGGAAGCTATATATCGCAACAATGGGGCTTCATATGTCAATGGAAGACAGTTACACTGACATCATTTAGTAAGGGGTGGATACTGAACACAATATTTGGCAAAGTCATGACAGAGCGTCCGCCATGAAGGCCATTTGTCTCTAAACTACACCCTGGCTGTTTGTCCCTCCATAACGACATGCATGCACACTGAACAAATGGCTATTCATGAAGCGAAACCAAATCAAAGTCCAGGCTCTTTGCCCTGCAGCTGGTTTGAGTTTTGATACAGTAATGAAGGATTTTATGTGTGGGTGACAAGTTCTGAGCCAGAACTTTAATGGCCCTATGGTATTCTGTTGGGCTACAACTATGCTATGCAAGCCATATGTTGGGGGTGGGGGAATAAACATTTATTTAAAGTATGCCAGTCTTGTATTTAATGTACCCTCTCCCCTGCTGTTTAAATGAGAGAATTTTCCAAGCATGTTGGCTCGCTTGTTGTCGACCATATTAAATTCACACACGGGCTACCTGTAGCCAAATACTCATTTAACGCCAAAGAGACTACAGAACATAAGCAATGTATCTTGGATTAGAAAATGTACACAAAGCCTGTTTCTCATCCTCTCTAGCATATGTAAACAATAGTTCCTTGTCACAATAAATCTCCATTTGGTGCTTAAAGTGTCTTATTACGGCCTCCCGAGTGGCGCAGTGGTCCAAGGCACTGCATCGCAGTGCTAGAGGCGTCACTACAGACCTGGTTGTGACACTACGGCTGGTTGTGACACCAGGCTGTGTCACAACCAGCCGTGATCGGGAGTCACATAGGGCGGCGCACAATTGGCCCAGCGTCGTTAGGGGAGGGTTTGGCCGGGGGGGCTTTACTTAGCGCTCTAGCGACTCCTTGTGGCGGGCTGGGCGCCTGCAGGCTGACTTCGGTCGTCAGTTGAACAGTGTTTCCTCCGACACATTGGTGCGGCTGGCTTCCGGGTTAAGCGGGCGGGTGTTAAGAAGAGTGTTTTGACGGCTCATGTTTCGGAGGACGCATGACTCGACCTTCGCCTCCCGAGCCCGTTGGGGAGTTGCAGCGATGAGACAAGAATGAAATTGGGGAGAAAAAGGGGGTACAAATACAACAAAATAATGTCTTATTACACTTTGTTCTATTACCCTGTTTACTGGCATAAAATGTGTTTTAATTGTAATGTTAGACATTTGTAAGTTAAAATAAATCACCGGCTTATGACTCACATACATCAATTAAAGGTTATAAGGCTAGTATGTTGCCAAGTTCACTGTTAGTTGTTGCCAAGGGGCGACAACAAAATCAATATGATCTCTCTCCCCCTCTCTCTCTCTCTCTGTCTCTCTCTCTGTCTCTCTCTCCTCTCTCTCTCTGTCCCTCTCGTCTCTCTCCATCTCTCCCCTCCCTCTCTCAGACATTAAATATGGTTGTCTGTGTAATTCCTCTTGGCTGTTCAATGTTCTGTTGCCCTTGGACATCTTCTGGCCTGCCTTAACGGCCTCTACACTCTGATGAGGGAAGAATTCTCTGGTTCAGACAACACCCTACATCTATCTCTTTTATTTTGAAGTCAGAAGTCTTAATGCATTCATGGTGTAGTAAATGGATGCTGTGCCATATCCACTGTTGCTCGAGATTACCATGTCTTTATTGCTGATTAGTGTAACTTTGCTTAACCTTTGCTTGCTTTAACTGTTGCTTTGTGTGTTTAATAATCAAACATGTTACTGAACCTAACAGTTACTGTACAGTGAGTAATTGGATTTAATATGTCATTGTCTTAGCCTTGCTATTTGTTTATTGCCGTTAGTTCAGAGTTTTTTTTTTTTTTAGCTCGAAGGTGCTCTGGCATCAATCATGTCTGTATCCGCAGATGGGCCATTCCATCAGAAAGTTAGCCTATAGGGATAGAATTTACAGACGCTCAATATTAACTGTCTGGTAGGGATACATGTAGGCCTAGTGCAAATACCTTCTCACCTGAATTATGACTTAATAGTATCCCTGAAAATACAGGATTGTATTTTGACAGGTTATGTAATGGACAGGTTAAGGAGTTTTTGGAAGGCATCATGAAACCTATTGGAATGTACTGAATCTGCCAGTTTAAATGTTATGATTTAAATTCAGTGGCCTACTGTGAAGACATGTCCATCTAGTCTAAATTTTAATCCTAATGTGGTGTTACTGTGCTGTGCCGATGCTCTGTTCTTTTCCAGGTACCTGCACTTCAACAACATTGAGTCCATAGAACCAGAATCCTTCTCTCACCTCCCAAAGCTTGAACGCCTGTAAGTCCACTATCTCCACTTTTCACCTTCCACTCTGTCATACGATTGCAAGTTACATTCTTACTTTAAAGTACAAATTTGTCTAAATGATGGGGTGATGCATCTTTAAGAAGCAATAGGACATAACTCTCCAAATTATATAATTGAACGATTTGTTGTGGCATGTACGTGTTTGTCGGAGTCAGTCCTCTACCTGAGCTAACTTATTCCAGGGCACTGAGTGCAGACCAGACTTTACAACGTAAACATTCTGGGAAATAGACTTGAAACCCCATGAAATGGCTTACATGATGCACTGTGAATAGGACGCAGTGTCCCCAACCGACGGAGCCCTAATGTGTTTAGCAGAAAGCTGGACATATAGGGGGGGTTTCAAAGCAGCACGACCCTTAGATTACCTTTCAATGTTCTGGGATGCCTTTGTGCAACAATGGACAGCTAATCTCTTCAACAAGTCTCTTGAGGTCTGTGGGCCATTTTTACAGCTGGTTGTCTGTCTGTCTGTCTGGGGTAAATAGCAAGAGAAATGCTATGAGGACAGACTGCACAGGGATAAATGTGGCCAGCGTATGTTTGGCTGTGTTTGCCCAGAGCCCTCACTTGCTCTCTGTCTGATGCTCCTCCAAACCCTTCAAACTCAGGTTCCTGACATGTGGTCAGGAAAAAAATCAGGGCCCTACTCAGAGGTATTCTTAGATGGCCCAAAACCTGTTTTACAACTTCAGGGTTCTGTGTGTTTGTTAATCACTGACCCATCAGATTTCTATGTGCTATGTAGGACAGACAGACGCTAAGAACCCAGGTCAGCTAGAGTTATCCTGCAGGGCCAAAGGGTCCACTGATAACACCTGGGCCTTTTGTCTGGAGAGATATCAACTCTCCTGACACCTAACATAGGTGGGATCTGAGAGAATTTCACCAGGGAAATAAGGGAACAATATGAGCGAACGATTTTAATGAAATAACTTTCTTATTGAAGTAACAGTAGACAGAGTGGATGAATAGAGTGAGTGTCAAGGCTCAGTGAACTATGTCAGACCCACTGGACCTGGACTGGACCTTCTACCGTGCGGATGGATGGATGGCTCACCGGCCGGCTGGCCTCTGTTTTCACGCTCTCACACCAGATGTGGGAGTGTTGGATCCGATCTGAATTCCTCCATCGGTGTCCATCTCTCCTCGTTTACGGGCTACCCCTGGAATCCCGCCACACACGTTCCCAACCCTCAGCAGAGAAGGAGCTGCCTGCACACAGCTGGAAAGGGGAAGGAATTCCCAGGTGCATTCATTCTGGAACGTTTGTAGGGGAAGATTTCCATGACAACGGAGTGTCCAGTTTCACTTGTTTGTGACCAAGAGAAGTCTGAAAGATGTATATATCTCCTGTGGATTGAAAGAGAAGAATAAGAAGGAAAAAAATCTTGTTGAAAAATCTTGTTGTTTCTTTTGATTTACGGTGATCGCTAACAAAAGTGAAGGTTTGTTGGCGTTTGGGGAAAATCTTTCCATAGCTGTATTTATTCATCTTTAATCTGTTTTCAATAAAGGAATCCATAATCTCATCTTTGTTTAAGATCGTTGGATGGTTTTGAAGAAAGGGGTCATGGCACGGAGCCTTGATAGTTTGTCATGAATGGGAAACTGATCATATTTCTTATCCCAGATAAAAATAATATAAAATGGTAAAATGGCTGTCTTCCAAAAACATTTCAATATGGCTCCCAATATTAGCCTGCAGGCCAACATCAAAGGGACTGATGCTGTAAGCGATATCTTCAATGAATGTCAAAGTAGAAAGCTCAAGTAATTTAATAGAATATATGCACATTCCTCATGAGTCACTAACTTTATGTGTTTGTTTACACTGTGACATAGGAAATATGCTATAGGAAATATGCATATAACATAAAGGAAAATCTTTTGGTATTTGTTTCTGTCACGATCGTTGACTGAAGACTCGTGGAACCAAGGCGCAGCGTGATAAGCGTACATCTTTATTGTGTACTTAACAACACGAACAAAACAACAAACAAACGATACGTGAAGTCCTGAGGTTATACACAACAAAACTTTACGGAACAAGATCCCACAAACTAACTGGTGCCAACAGGCTGCCTAAGTATGGTCCCCAATCAGAGACAACGAGCTACAGCTGTCTCTGATTGGGAACCACCCTGGCCAACATAGATAAACACGATCTAGAACAAAAACATAGAAAACTAAACATAGAACATCCACACCCTGGCTCAACAATTAAGAGTCCCCAGAGACAGGGCGTGACAGTACCCCCCCCCCCCCCCCCCCCCCCCCCCCAAAGGCGCGGACTGCGACCGCGCCACACAAACACAACAGGGTAGGGGCCGGGTGGGCATTCCGCCTCGGAGGCGGATCCGGCTCCGGGCGTGACCACCACTCTCTCTCCACTCCCCCGTTGCGCCCCTGGTCTGGTCCCGCTGGCCGGAGCTGGACTGGACACCGGTGGAGCGGATTGCTCTGGCTCCGGAGTGGATCCGCTGACTGGAGTTGGACCGGACCCCGGTGGAGAGGATTGCTCTGGCTCCGGAGTGGAGCAGCTGACCGGTGCCGGACCGGGCTGACGACGCGCACCACTGGCTTGGTGCGGGGAGCAGGAACGGGCCGGACCGGGCTGACGACGCGCACCACTGGCTTTGTGCGGGGAGCAGGAATGGGCCGGACCGGGCTGACGACGCGCACCACTGCCTTGGTGCGGGGAGCAGGAACAGGCCGGACCGGGCTGGCGACGCGCACCACTGGCTTGGTGCGGGGAGCAGGAACAGGCCGGACCGGGCTGGCGACGCGCACCACAGGCTTGGTGCGAGGGACAGGAACAGGCCGGACCGGGCTGGCGACGCGCACCACTGCCTTGGTGCGAGGGACAGGAACAGGCCGGACCGGGCTGGCGACGCGCACCACTGGCTTGGTGCGGGGAGCAGGAACAGGCCGGACCGGGCTGGCGACGCGCACCACAGGCTTGGTGCGAGGGACAGGAACAGGCCGGGCCGGACTGTGGAGGCGGACTGGAGGTCTGGAGCGGAGAGCTGACACAACCCGTCCTGGCTGAATGCCTATTTCCACACAATATGTGTGAGGCATCAGCACAGGACGTACAGGGCTGTGCACACGTACTGGCGCTACAGCACGTGGCACTGGCGCAGGATATCCGGGACCACGAGTGTTGAGCCGGCACACCCCGTCCTGGCTGCATGCCCACCTTTGCACGACACGTGCGTGGTGCTAGCACAGGACGTACAGGACTGTGCCGGAACACTCGCGGCACAGTACGTGGCTCCGCATAACACGGAGTCTGCCCAGTCTCACGCTTACTAGCCTGAGTATGGGGAGTTGGCTCTGCTCTAACTCTAGGCTCCGCCAACCACCCTTTTAGCCCCCCCAAAAAAAATTATTGGGGCTGTCTCTCGGGCTTCCTCCTCGGCCGGTACCCTCTGCGTTGCCGCTGCTCCTCTCTGTAGCGCGCCTCCACAGTCTCCTCCCAAGGACGGCGATCCATTCCGGCCTGAATCTCTTCCCAAGTCCAGGATCCCTTCCCGTCCAGGATCTCCTCCCAAGTCCAGGCTGTGTTTTCCTGGACACGCTGCTTGGTCCTCTTTGGGTGGGATCTTCTGTCACGATCGTTGACTGAAGACTCGTGGAACCAAGGCGCAGCGTGATAAGCGTACATCTTTATTGTGTACTTAACAAAACGAACAAAACAACAAACAAACGATACGTGAAGTCCTGAGGTTATACACAACAAACCTTTACGGAACAAGATCCCACAAACTAACTGGTGCCAACAGGCTGCCTAAGTATGGTCCCCAATCAGAGACAACGAGCTACAGCTGTCTCTGATTGGGAACCACCCTGGCCAACATAGATAAACACGATCTAGAACAAAAACATAGAAAACTAAACATAGAAAATCCACACCCTGGCTCAACAATTAAGAGTCCCCAGAGCCAGGGCGTGACAGTTTCATTAGTCCATTGTTGATATATTTCCAAAAATGTTTTGTATGTCAGCAATCAAGTTTTTAAGATATATAACTTTAAAAATAGAGAAATACAGCCGATATGATGCATTTTGCATCATACCGGCTGTATTTCTGTCCTTGTATCTTAAAAACTTGATTGTTGACATAGAAAACATTTAGGGACTATTTCAACATTGGAGTTTTCCTTTAATCCCTTTAGAGGTCAACCCCTGTCAACCTACTAAACAGTGTGTCAAATGTACAAATTACAAATTACACGCAGCATGAAGTCCATAATTAATGTGTCTGTCTCTCTCTCTTTGCCTCTTGCAGGTTTTTGCACAACAACAGAATCACCCATCTTGTACTGGGGACCTTCTCCCATCTCCAGTCCATGAAGAGACTGTAAGTTCACTGATAACATGCATGGACAGGGCAGCTGTGGTGTTGTCTGAGAATGCGTATCGACCAACATTTGACTCCCATTACACAGAGGGGTCATGGGGGAGAATACGAGCCGTTTTTCAACAGTACACCACTCTGTCTAGGCCCCTCAAATTAAAGGACCTCAAAGCCAGTTCTATTGCTTTTTTTAATTCTTCCCCTCTAATCAGTGACTTATTTGGACCTGGGACACCAGGTGGGTGCAATTGATTATTAGGTAGAACAGAAAACCAGCAGTACTCCGGACCTCCCAGGGTAAGATTTGAATACCCCTGGTCTAGGACTGTGAGAGAGATGAATGGCACTGACAGAGCCCTGCCTGTCTGTGTACAAAGACCAGGCAGTTAATTAGGATCTAGATTTTGGCCCTTTTGTTTTCTCACTCTTTTCAACAAGACTGACTTCCAGGATGTGTTAGATCCAGAGCCAGTATGCTGTGGTTGAGAGGTACAGTAGACAGACAGGAGAACTGGCAGGCTGGGAGGAACTGGATTCAAAAACAATATTTCCCTCTGATTATTGCAGTACTCAGATTTGGAGGATGTTCAGAGTGGGATCAGATTAAATGAGATTATTACTGTCTCCTGGAATGTACAAATCTCTCTGAAACCTGAAGAGACCTACTGGTAGAATAAAGAATAAAGGAAAGTCAGCCAGCAGCCAGTCTGCACTCTGCTGTAGACAGACAGTTTCCCGCAGCAGGAGAGGAGTTCTACCAAAAAGGCCATGCTGAGTCCCAGTGTTTGGACGGAGCTAGGTCTAGCTGTATGACATAGCTGGTGTGTGTGTGTGTCCATGTGTGCATGTGTGTGTCTGTGTTTGGCCAGTCTTGGTCCACACTGGGAGGCCACCAGCGAGGATTTACACTACCGCCCAGTCAGAGTCAGCCCACTACTGACACCAGACAGACAGACTCATACTGTTTACCTATACTACTGTAATAACACAGGACTGGTAGCAGTGTGATCTGTATTGTATGATGTACAGTTAATAGTCCTGTATTGATGTGTGATATTGCGGTCTACAGTCGTGGTCAAATGTTTTGAGAATGACACAAATACTAATTTTCACAAAGTCTACTGCCTCAGTTTTGATGATGGCAATTTGCATATACTCCAGAATGTCATGAAGAGTGATCAGAAGAATTGCAATTAATTGCAAAGTCCCTCTTTACCATGATAATGAACTTAATCCCCCAAAAACTTTTCCACTGAAAACTTCAGCCCTGCCACAAAAGGACCAACTGCCATCATGTCAGTGATTCTCTCGTTAACACAGGTGAGAGTGTTGACGAGGACAAGGCTGGAGATCACTCTGTCATGCTGATTGAGTTAGAATAACAGACTGGAAGCTTTAAAAGGAGGGTGGTGCTTGAAATCATTGTTCTTCCTCTGTTAACCATGGTTACCTGCAAGGAAACACGTGCCGTCATCATTGCTTTGCACAAAAAGGGCTTCACAGGCAAGGATATTGCTGCTAGTAAGATTGCACCGAAATCAAACATTTATCGGATCATCAAGAACTTCAAGGAGAGAGGTTCAATTTTTGTGAAGAAGGCGTCAGGGTGCCCAAGAAAGTCCAGCAAGCGCCATGACTGTCTCCTAAAGTTGATTCAGCTGTGGGATCGGAGCACCACCAGTGCAGAGCTTGCTCAGGAATGGCAGAAGGCAGGTTTGAGTACATCTGCACGCACAGTGAGGCGAAGACTTTTGGAGGATGGCCTGGTGTCAAGAAGGGCAGCAAAGAAGCCACTTCTCTCCAGGAAAAACATCAGGGACAGACTGAAATTCTGCAAAAGGTACAGGGATTGGACTGCTGAGGACTGGGGTAAAGTCATTTTCTCTGATGAATCCCCTTTCCGATTGTTTGGGGCATCCGGAAAACACCTTGAGAAGACAAGGTGAGCGCTACCATCAGTCCTGTGTCATGCCAACAGTAAAGCATCCTGAGACCATTCATGTGTGGGGTTGCTTCTCAGCCAAGGGAGTGGGCTCACTCACAATTTTGGCTGAATAAGAATGGTACCAACACATCCTCCGAGAGCAACTTCTCCCAACCATGCAAGAACAGTTTGGTGACGACCAATGCCTTTTCCAGCATGATGGAACACCTTGCCATAAGGTAAACGTGATAACTAAGTAGCTCGGGGAACAAAACATTGACATTTTGGGTCCATGGCAAGGAAACTCCCCAGACCTTAATCCCATTGGGAACTTGTGGTCGATCCTCAAGAGGCGGGTGGACAAACAAAAACCCACAAATTCTGACAAACTCCAAGCATTGATTATGCAAGAATGGGCTGCCATCAGTCAGGATGTGGCCCAGAAGTTAATTGACAGCATGCCAGTGCGGATTGCAGAGGTCTTGAAAAAGAAGGGTCAACACTGGAAATATTGACTCTTTGCATAAACTTAATGTAATTATCAATAAAAGCCTTTGACACTTATGGAATGCTTGTAATTATACTTCAGTATACCATAGTAACATCTGACAAAAATATCTCATAACACTGAAGCAGCGAACTTTGTGAAGACCAATACTTGTGTCATTCTTAAAACTTTTGACCACGACTGTACTATATACTCTGTATTTAAGAGATGGTGAGTTATACTGAGGAAGAGTAGAACATACACACATCTAAAGACTTGCAGGTGCAGGATACACAGAAATCAGCATATGACAAACACTATATTTGGAGCGTTACTATAAACAGCCTTTTATTTTTTCCGCATGGTGAGTGATACTGTAGTAATCTCTCTCTCTCTCTCTCTCTCTCTCTCTCTCTCTCTCTCTCTCTCTCTCTCTCTCTCTCTCTCTCTCTCTCTCTCGCTCTCTCGCTCTCTCGCTCTCTCTCCCTCTCTCCCTCTCCCTCTGTGTGCAGGCGTCTGGACTCTAACACTTTGAACTGTGACTGTGAGCTGCTGTGGCTGGCTGACCTGTTGAAGCAGTATGCTGAGTCAGGCAATGCACAGGCTGCTGCCACCTGTGACTACCCCAGCCGGCTGCAGGGACGATCTGTGGCCACACTCACTGCTGAGGAACTGAACTGTGGTGAGGCCACACACAGGCGCTCACACACACTCACAACCCCCCCCCCCCCCCCCAACACACACACACACACATCACCACACACACACACACACACACACACACACACACACACATCACACACACCTTCTCTCGCATACCGTCCACTTCACTGAAACCCCAACTCACTCCACACAAACCACGGCTTTCCTAGCCACACAAAACCTTTTCTGTCTGTTTAGCTGTTGGCTCCCGACCACAGTGGTCTTGAGCTGTGACGGGATTTCCCCAGGTGGGTCCCTGTCTGTCTGTCTGTCTGTCTGTCTGTGGAGGTTGGTCTGTGGTCTCCAGCCAGCTTTTGTTCCACCATGACCCCAGCAGCTGTGGTCCTGGGCTGGGTAGCATGTCAGACAGGAGCCCCTGCCACTGCTCTGAGCCCAAGAACCTAGCAGCCTGCCTCCTGAAGCCAGCATCTGCTAAGCCCATCAGGCCTCTGTGTCCTGGACGTGGGTGGCGGATGGATAGGTGGAGTGTGGATTGTAAGGGGTGGATAGAGGGACCAAGTCCATGTCTGCTGTGATTGTTTTGGGGTTGGGTGTGGGAAAGAAGGAAGGGGTGAGGGAACTGAGAAAGTGATGCATGTGTATGAGGGATGGATGGGTGAGGCTGGTAGAATATAAGCGCGAAAGCCGCCAATGGAACCCAAGAAAACCAGCCAAGTCAGGGCAGATTAAACGTGTTGAAATGCCTGTCTGGTTATTTCCATTACACTAGTCCTTTGGGAAAGGAAAGGAGTGGAGATATGTGTTTATCTTGCAGAACAATGAAATGTGTAGGTCTACTGTATGTAGTACTTAGGCCAGGAAGTCTTTCTCTCCCTAATGGACTTTTAAGCCAGTTTGTTCCTGTTACATCAGAGTGGCTTTACCACCCTCATTATGCCCTCTTCCCTCAGTAACAGCCATTGTGGGGTAGGCAGGCAGCAGCTGTCAGTTTACGTTATAAAAACCACACAAGCCTCCGCAGCTAATTTGACGGCTCTGACTTGCCTTTTCTTTCTTAATGAATCCCCTTCTGTCTGTCTGTCTGTCTGTTTGTCTGTATGTGTGTGGAGTAAAGTCTGTTTTAAACAGTGGAACCATTCCACTCTCCTTCTCTCCCCCTCTCTCCACTCCCTACTCACCCCTCTTCTCCCGTCCGTCCTCTCTCCTCTACTTCTCCTCTACCCTCCTCTCCTCACCCCTCATCTCCTCTCTTCTCTCCCTCCTCTCCCTTACCTTCTCCCCTCCTCTCTCTCCTCTCTGCTCCTCTCCCCCTTTCTCCCCCGGCTCTTCCTCCATTCCCCGTATAAATGAGGGAACAATGTGCAGCGGGCCGAGCAGCTGTCAAAACAACAGGGCCTGTGGATGAAGTGCCACCTCCCTGCTGGCCTGGCTACCCACTGGCCTCCTTCCCTTCCCTGTCCCTTCTCTGCCCTGGGCCTATGGAAGAGCAGGAGCCAGGGCTGGGTTGCCATGTTTGGAGTTAAGGGAAGCAAACAGTGTAATTAGTGCCCTGTGCCAATGTGGTCTAATGTGGAGGTGGTGAGAGAGAAAAGAGAGCCGGGCTGTTATATGCAGTCTGAGGTTACTGCTTCCCATCGGTCTTGTTTCGGCTGCTGGTTGGCCTGCTGGGCTGGTTGGTGGTGGAGGACCTGGAAGGCCCAGAGCAGACAGATTTATGTCTTGGCCTTTCCCATGTGCATGGTTTGTGCGTTAGGAGAGAGGGGAGAGCTGTTGGACTGGAGGGCCTACTCTATGCTCTCTAATAAATGTGTCTGCCACATGTAAACAAAGGGGCATGTGTGTGTTTGTGTGTGCACACACATGTGTGTATGGATTGAATGATGTATGTGCACCTAAAAGTGCCAGTCTGCCAGAGAGGACAGAGTATCTGAGGAGGCAGCAGCCGGAAGTCCAGCACCACCCATGTCCTAGCACACACAGGGTGGCTGACTTATTTGTGGAGCAGTTTAACTATTTCCTCACAGGAGGTGATTTGTGTGTGTGGGTGTGGGTGTGTGCCCCTGTTTCCATCCCTGATCCTAACCAGAGAAGCCCCCACATCAGGCCCCCTCACAGCGCCCTCAGCATACGTCCACAGGGCCAATCTCAGGAGAGCAGTGTCCTCTCTCCGGTCCATTACTCTGGCCGTAGTCATATCAGACCAGCAGAGAATAGAGACATGACTCTTGTCCTGAAAGGAAATGGTTCTGTATTTATGTGGCTGGTCTGGTTGCTTTATTGTGTTGCTTCAACCTGTCTTTATCCCTTCCTCTTCTCATCCTCCTCTCTTCCTCTTCTCATCCTCCTCTCTTCCTCCTCTCTTCCTCCTCTCATCCTCTTCTTCCTCCTCTCCCTCTCTCCTGTGTAGAGGTGCCCAGGATCACGTCGGAGCCCCAGGATGTTGACGTGACGTCGGGGAACACTGTATACTTCACCTGCAGGGCCGAGGGAAACCCCAAACCACAGATCATCTGGCTCAGGAACAAGTAAGGCCCGCTCTTCAATGAGGATATCAACGTTGAAACAGTTGTTCAACTTTTGTTCAGTAATGCGTCCTATACAACATATTGTACGCACATTAATATGGAATTGTATTTTTCTCCCTGTCAGTAATGCTCTGAACATGCATGACGACTCTCGTCTGAACCTGCTGGAGGACGGTACCCTGATGATCCAGGACACGCGGGAGACGGACCAGGGAGTGTACCAGTGCATGGCCAAGAACGTGGCTGGAGAGGTCAAGACCTCCCAGGTCACACTCAGATACTTTGGAGCCCCCTGTGAGTGGATCCCTCACATTATGTAACACATGTTGGAATATTTAAATATCCTTCCTTTGTCTCTTCCATGAAGTAGTCACTGCCTGCAAGCTCAACACTGTACAGCATTCCCTTATCCAATCGTATTTGCTTCAACAAGGTCCCATTGTATTCAGACAGGGTCCATTTCAGTGAAGGAAGAAATGTGTGGTAAAAAGCATTCTGTTCAATGGAGAGAGTTCGAACAGCGGGGGTTGAAACAGCAATGACCATAGCTCTGTGTGCATATTGTAGAGAACAGTGGGGTTGCCATTTAGGTCAAAAGTCAAATAATTTAGAGGTCGCACCAAGCTGCCGGGCGAAGAAATCACACTGCGTTCCATGAGAAAAGCATTTCCCTCAACAACCTTGTTTGTTCCCCTGACGACCACTGTCACCCCAAGAGATTAGCCGGGCTGTCTCCAGATGACCAGGGGTCATTGTCCGGGTGACGGATGGTTGCTGGGCCGACTCTACTTACAAACTGCTCTGAGAACAGCTGTTGACTGTTTCCTGTTTCTTTGATTTTAAAACGAGAGGACAGACAGTGTACATATTTCCTATAGCCCCGGGCCCACTGTAGCAGTGGGGGAGGGGTCAGATATAAACAGAGTTTGTCTGAGTTCATGGGCTGTATTATGTAAGTGTGCTCTGTGCTTCTTGCTCCCTTTCATTTGTTCCTCCACACCTGACCGATGATATGGTCATGTGTAGGGCAACATGTTTTTCCTGGTCAGATCAAGTGGTCAGGAACAACTCTTGACTTTATGTAGGAAATAATAGACTTCTTTCCACCTATGTTATCACTTAGATACTTTGTCTCAATCTTCCTCTGTCTCTCCTTTGTCCTCTCTCCCTCAGCGCGACCCAGTTTTGTGATCCAGCCCCAGAATACAGAGGTGTTGGTGGGGGAGAGTATCACCCTGGAGTGTAGCGCTACAGGCCAGCCCCAGCCCCGGGTCTCTTGGACCAAGGGGGACCGCACGCCGTTGCCCACCGACGCCCGTATCAACACCACCCCGTCTGGGGGGCTGTTCATCCAGAACGTGGTGCAGGCAGACGGGGGGCAGTACACCTGCTTCGCCTCCAACAACGTGGACACCATCCACGCCACCGCTCACATCATCGTACAGGGTGAGTAGCACCATCGAGGTGTACATGGACCAAGTTATTAAGCAACAATGTACATTATCATTTGTTTTCAATTAAGAACCATAAGTGTAAATTGTATTTGAATGGTACAGATGTTTGTGTCTGGTTAGAATTGCAGACATCTTATACAGGACACTGTTGAGAGAACATGATCTAACTTGTTTGTTTCTAACGCTCCTGTCGTTCCTGTTGTCCAGAGACCCCCCAGTTCACAGTGACCCCCCAGGACCAGTCGGTGTTGGAGGGTCACACGGTGGATTTCGCCTGTGAGGCCAGCGGCTACCCCCAGCCTGTCATCGCCTGGACGCGGGGGGGCAGCCCCCTGCCCCAGGACCGACGCCACCTGGTCCTCTCCTCGGGCACGCTGAGGATCGCCCACGTGGCGCCCCACGATGAGGGCCAGTATGAGTGCCAGGCCGTCAGCCCACTCGGCACAGTGCGCACCGCCGTACAGCTTAATATCCAGCAGAGAGGTGAGACCGATCTCTACTCTATACCCTAACAGGATCCAGATGTTATGCCTGATGTATGAATATTTTATCAATCTGCATGCTGTTATGATTGATGTTTGAATTATGAATGAATGAAATGACAATTGTGTCTAGAATGGTAATTATAGGACATTTCGTTTTAAGCACTTTTCGAAACATCCAAGGACACTATGTCAATGTTGACAAGTGTCAAGTGAATGCCATCTGTGACATGATAATTATACTGCATCTTTATGTAGGCTAGAAGGGAAAAGGGTTTCAATGTATTATTGTAAGGGCCTCTCCAAGTGCTCATAGGCTTTTTAAAAGGAGTCAAGGGTCGTAAAGCTCGAGAGGGTGGGAGTGACGATACACAACGTCTCAGCCTGAAATCAGAGAAACAATTCCTCGACATAGTACAAAAACTAGTGACAGACATATGGCTGGGTCTCTCTCTCGCTCTCTCTCTCTCTCGAACAGAAATGACAGGCTTGTAGTTGTAAATGGGATGTGGAGCAGAGCGGGGCAAGAAAGCATGGCACTCTGTAATCCCAGATGGCACCATGTTTTCCATGTAGTAATGGCTGTTAACATGCAGAAAAGTACTGTAAACCATTTACAACACTGTAAACCATTTACACACAACCCCGAGACAACCCTGAGCAACACTTTAGTGTGTGATGGCTGCTTAAACACAGTGCGACTTTCAGCAAGCGAGACAGAGAGAGAGGGAGACAAGGAGAAAGATGGCTAGTTGGCTACATTGACATACATGTTTTTAGCCTGACATGATAGGGTGTGTTCAGAACATTATAGTATTTCCTAGCCTAGACTTTCCTAGTCTGCTTGGATAGCTTGGGAACAGTTCATCTGCTTTAAACCTCAGGATCCCTCAGGGCTTAGAGGGCTTTCCTCAAACTGGGAATGGTATCTTCCCATGACCAGGTGGCTAGCCGCAGGGGTTACACGCCCGCCATTGGGGAATTTGAATTTTTACTGGGAAGAGGAAAAGCACCTCCCCAGCTGTGTGTGAGAGAGATGAGTGGTCTAATCCATGTTCACAGGGACACACTGAGGAAACTCTCTATGCCTTGGATGAGAGTTGATCTTTGAGTGTTGTGTGTCAATTAAAATCTTCAGCTGGCCCCTGTTAATGTAATTAGAACAGAGATTTAATAGGACGTGGAACTTGAACATGTGAAAAAAGTGTGTGTGTTTGTGTGCGTGCTTGCATCTGTCAGTGTGTGTGTGTGTGTGTGTGTGTGTGTGCACATACTAGCATGAGAATCATGTCAGTGTTTGTTTTGACAGGCTGAGAACATTAGGATGACAATGTGTTGTACTGCATTGGGATTCATTTCACTACACTGTGAGCTGCTGCGAGCTTTGATGTAATCATTAACACATGTTTTTAAATCATCAGTAACGCCTGTTTTCACAAATGCTCCAAGGGACGTGACTGTGGAGTCTGGCACGGACGTCCAGATTCCCTGCAGCGCTCAGGGACAGCCCGAGCCTGTCCTCACCTGGAACAAGGTTAGACACCTGTCACCTGGTCACCATTTACTGGTCACCACGGCAACACCGTTGTCCCATCGCCGTGGCAACAAGGCTAGCATAGCCAGGCTCTAGCTGAGGACAGGGGATGGGGAGAGGGAAGGGGAAGGAGGGCAGGCTGCTCAGATCAGGAAATGGCTGTTAGTAACTTTCCCAATATTATTAGGCCTATATGTATTTAAAAAGTGATTTTGTACAGCCTAGAATATCACAGCTTATTGTAAAACATAGCCATGTATCCCAAGCTGATTTGAAAGACTCCATGTAACCCGACCCAGTCAGGCCTGACAGACCCTATGACTTTGACATTGTAACTCAAGACAGTGCCCTACTGTCAGGCTTTATGGCAGTGTTGTTCCCTGTTTGACCCCATAACCCCACACTAGTCCATACCTCCTGACCTTTCAACTCCTGTCTGTTCCGGCAACGCTGCAGGACGGCGTCCAGGTGACGGAAAGTGGGAAGTTCCACATCGCCCCTGAGGGCTTCCTGGAGGTCAAGGACGTGGGTCTAGCCGATGGCGGACGCTACGAGTGTGTCGCCCGCAACCCCATTGGCTACCAGTCCGCTAGCATGGTGCTCACCGTCCAAGGTAAAACGTAGCTAGAGTATGCTAAGCTATGCTAACACTAGTCGTGGAGAACTATAGGCTCTGCAAGCTTTGGTTCCAGCCCTGCTCTAACACACCTGACTCAGATGTGTTTTTGCTGGGCTAGACCCAAAGCCTGCACACACCAAGGCTTTGTGATGGCTGTACTGCAGTTATTGTAACATGTAACACAATGGGTTGGGCCTACTCCTCAACTCTAGCCTCAGTGTTGCTTATTTGCCCTGGCCTGCCTGTGTGCTGTCTCGTGGCAGTTGCTAGCTAGCGTGCTGCCAGTGAACTGTGACCATAATGGGTTGATGTTGGACAGGTCTGCAGCCCACACATCAGATACTCCATGTTTTACATGGCACACTATAGAACTACACTACAGTCTGCCAGAAATGTGTTCTGTTCTCTCCAATCTCCAGGGTTGTGATACACATGTACACCAGTGCCCAGCTCTATATGGTGTAATCACCCAGTTAACTTGCTCTCTGGGGAGAGGATTTTAAAGCCTTTAGTTGAACTTATGTTACCTCATGCTGTCTTGACCATGACAACGAATGACATACGCAGTTGAAACATCTGGTGTCAGTTTATGGCGAATAATTCGATCAGTATTAGTTGATTTTTTAATTATCTTTTGCAGTGCCTCCAGTGAGTAGGCAAGGGGACACCTTTGTGACATCGTCTATTGAAGAGGCCATCCGCAACGTGGACAGTGCCATCGAATCCACCAGGAGGCATCTGTTTGATGGGTAAGTCAAATGCCTTTTTTAGTCCGAAGGTTGGAATCAAACTTATGATACTGAGCTTTGTTGAATTATCATTTCTGAAGCCTATCTTGAGTTGTGCTTTGTGTGTGAGCGCTTTCAACTGATGATGTGTTTAACAGGAGCATGTTTCCATACACGCACACACACACACACACACACACACACACACACACACACACACACACACACACACACACACACACACACAGCCAGCTAGCTGGGGAATTCCAGCTCTGTTCTAATGACAAGCCCAGGAAGAAAAGTTGCCTCTGGGCCCACAGAGCTCAGTGGGTTCTATGTGACGTGTCTTTGTGCTCTGTGACTGGCTGGCACGTCCAGGCATCCTCTGAAGGCTGTTTACACAGCATGAGGGCGGGGTTGCAATGCTCTGTCCGATGCGAGTCATCATCACTATATCAAAAGGATGACGAGCATATCAAATATTCTTGATTTGGATGCTTTAAATACTACAGTGAGGTAAAAAAGTATTTGATCCCCTGCTGATTTTGTACGTTTGCCCACTGACAAATAAATGATCAGTCTATAATTTTAATGGTAGGTTTATTTGAACAGTGAGAGACAGAATAACAACAAAAAAATCCAGGAAAACGCATGTCAAAAATGTTAGAAATTGATTTGCATTTGAATGAGGGAAATAAGTATTTGACCCCCTCTCAATCAGAAAGATTTCTGGCTCCCAGGTGTCTTTTATACAGGTAACGAGCTGAGATTAGGAGCACACTCTTTGTTACCTGTATAAAAGACACCTGTCCACAGAAGCAATCAATCAATCAGATTCCAAACTCTCCACCATGGCCAAGACCAAAGAGCTCTCCAAGGATGTCAGGGACAAGATTGTAGACCTACACAAGGCTGGAATGGGCTACAAGACCATCGCCAAGCAGCTTGGTGAGAAGGTGACAACAGTTGGTGCGATTATTCGCAAATGGAAGAAACACAAAATAACTGTCAATCATCCTCGGCCTGGGGCCTCCATGCAAGATCTCACCTCGTGGAGTTGCAATGATCATGAGAACGGTGAGGAATCAGCCCAGAACTACACGGAAGGATCTTGTCAATGATCTCAAGGCAGCTGGGACCATAGTCACCAAGAAAACAATTGGTAACACACTACGCCGTGAAGGACTGAAATCCTGCAGCGCCCGCAAGGTCCCCCTGCTCAAGAAAGCACATATACAGGCCCGTCTGAAGTTTGCCAATGAACATCTGAATGATTCAGAGGAGAACTGGGTGAAAGTGTTGTGGTCAGATGAGGTCAAATCGAGGTCTTTGGCATCAACTCAACTCGCCGTGTTTGGAGGAGGAGGAATGCTGCCTATAACCCCAAGAACACCATCCCCACCGTCAAACATGGAGGCGGAAACATTATGCTTTGGGGGTGTTTTTCTGCTAAGGGGACAGGACAACTTCACCGCATCAAAGGGACGATGGACGGGGCCATGTACCATCAAATCTTGGGTGAGAACCTCCGTCCCTCAGCCAGGGCATTGAAAATGGGTCGTATATGGGTATTCCAGCATGACAATGACCCAAAACACACGGCCAAGGCAACAAAGGAGTGGCTCAAGAAGAAGCACATTAAGGTCCTAGAGTGGCCTAGCCAGTCTCCAGACCTTTATCCCATAGAAAATCTGTGGAGGGAGCTGAAGGTTCGAGTTGCCAAACGTCAGCCTCGAAACCTTAATGACTTGGAGAAGATCTGCAAAGAGGAGTGGGACAAAATCCCTCCTGAGATGTGTGCAAACCTGGTGGCCAACTACAAGAAACGTCTGACCTCTGTGATTGCCAACAAGGGTTTTGCCACCAAGTACTAAGTCATGTTTTGCAGAGGGGTCAAATACTTATTTCCCTCATTAAAATGCAAATCAATTCATAACATTTTTGACATGCGTTTTTCTGGATTTTGTTGTTGTTATTCTGTCTCTCACTGTTCAAATAAACCTACCATTAAAATTATAGACTGATCATGTCTTTGTCAGTGGGCAAACGTACAAAATTCAGCAGGGGATCAAATACTTTTTTCCCTCACTGTACATATTTATTTTAAGAGTTGTTTGTAAGGAGAAGGGAATGTGCTTTGCTTCATTGGCCAAGTATGCATCTAAATGATAGCCATTTGTTTTGATTTGGGATTGGATATGATACCTGTAGGCACCTGGTATTGCCCTGCCTGGCTTGAACTGACCCAAGGCATGTGTGCTTGGTTGCGTGCATTTGTGCGTGTGTGTGTCCGTGCATGCGTGCGTGCCATGGTTTATGAATGCTGCGTTCAAAGCACCTCATAAATAACGATGCAGTCATTGGGATGCTATGAAAGAAATGTGATGCCCATATAAGGAAGTGAAAGCAGGTTTATTCCCACACCTACACTTGAGATGGATTATGAGATCAACTAGCTAGTGTTTACTTTTTTCACTCACACCCGTTTGTTATCGGTGAGGAGAATGTGTGTGTTGAGAGGAGTTTTATTGACTGTGCTTATCTGAACTCTTTCATCTGCTCATGTCATTTGGGTCAGGAAGGATGTTTTCACCATTCACTCCTGGTAGACAGATTAGAGTTGTTTTCCCTGGCAAGAACAAAGAAGGGCTGTAAACATTTCCATCTCTCAATCCAAAAGACTTGCAGGCACAGGATACACAGAAATCAGCATGTGACAAACAATATTTGAATTATTACTATAAACAGCCTTTTATGTGTTCTCCATGGTGAGTGATACTGTAATAATCTCTCTCTCACTTTCTCTCTCTCTCTCTCTCTCTCTCTCTCTCTCTCTCTCTCTCTCTCTGTCTATTTCTCCCCCTCTCTCCCCATCTCACTGTAGAAATCCTCGTACCCCTGGCGAGTTGCTGGCCCTATTCCGTTACCCCAGGGACCCGTACACAGTGGAGCAGGCTCGGGCGGGGGAGATCTTCGAGCAGACCCTGCTCCTCATCCAGAACCACGTCAACCAAGGCCTCATGGTCGACACCAACGGCACAGGTGAGACAACAGACATTGCCTTATTTAATAAAGATGACCATCTCTGTCACATAAAGCTCTGGTTTGGAGTTAGCAGACTATCTATGCAAAGTGAAAGTGAAGAGGACATGCGAATCCACAAACATTCCAATGTGTTAGCAGTTGACTGGATGCTCATAAAGTATTTTACTAGCCATGCGTCATCCTGTATAATGGCAGCCGAATGTGGTCAGTTGCCACGGGTGAAAGCCATCCCAGATTTGGCCGGTCCAGGGAGGTGTCCAATGACCCAAACAAGGGGACTGGTCCTCCATATTAAGGATTTATGGTACATAAAATGCTCATGTTAATGTGGCTAAGGTTTAACAGCCATGCAGGCTAAATGGACCAGTTGTGTGAGGTAATGGAGAACACTGGCTGATATAAGGCTGTGGTGCTACAGGCCTCAGATGAGTGAGTGAGAGAGAGTGAGTGAAAGAGAGCGCGAGAGAGAGAGTGAGCGAGAGTGTGAGAGAAAGAGAGAGAGAGAGAGACAGTGTTTTCACTGGTTATGACAACAGTCAAGTGTTCATTGTTACACTGGCCCCTAACTTTTGTCCGTCAGCAAAAACAATGTAGCCTGTTTGGTTTATGTCTATGTGACCTGGCACACCACCTAGCACTGCTACCCTGTAGGTTGTGTATGGCTGGATCGATTCTGTGAGTGACCAGAGAGGTAGAGGGGTGGCATTTTGGGGGAGATGGGAGGGGTGGTGGGTGTTGCCGTTTGCTCCGCCAGCTGGCTGCTGACAGGAAGTCTCACTTTTCCCCATTGATTTGAGCTACACAAGGCACACACACACACTGGAGCTGTAGCTCATGCACCGGAGCAGTAACACAGGAATTGTTACGTCTCTGAGCGAGTCAGGACATGTCAGAGGAAAACTCAAATCTGTGCCCTCAGGATGCAGGTTTAGATTCCCAGGGAAAACATAACCTACATGGTGCAATCAGCAGTCTCCTCTGTTAGGTGGAACTATAAAGTTAATGTAGTAGTGTAGTACACAGCCCTGTGCTTGTCTTCTCTGTATGTGGCCTTATATCCTCACTAAATAACCTATTTTCCCTCCCTTCGTCCCCAGCGTTCCGCTACAATGACCTGGTGTCCCCTCACTTCCTGGATGTGATCGCCAACCTATCAGGCTGCACGGCCCACCGCCGCTTCAACAACTGTTCTGACATCTGCTTCCACCAGAAGTACCGCAGCCACGACGGCACCTGCAACAACCTGCAGCACCCCATGTGGGGCGCCTCCCTCACCGCCTTCCAGCGCCTCCTCAAGTCGGTCTATGACAACGGCTTCAATCTGCCGCGCGGCGCCAGCGGCCGCCAGCAGAACGGCCACGCCCTGCCCCTGCCCCGCCTCGTCTCCACCACCATGATTGGCACGGAGACCATCACACCCGATGACCGCTACACCCACATGCTCATGCAGTGGGGGCAGTTCCTGGACCATGATCTGGATTCCACTGTTGCCGCCCTCAGCCAATCACGTTTCTCTGACGGCCAGCTGTGCACTAACGTGTGCACCAATGACGCTCCCTGCTTCCCCATCCAGTTCCCCCCGGGTGACCCTCGACAGGCACGCAGCGGGGCACGCTGCATGTTCTTTGTGCGCTCCAGCCCCGTATGCGGCAGCGGTATGACATCACTCCTCATGAACAGCGTGTTTCCACGGGAACAGATCAACCAGCTGACGTCGTACATCGATGCGTCCAACGTGTACGGCAGCTCACGCCACGAGTCAGAGGAGGTCCGGGACCTGGCCAGTCAGAGGGGTCTGCTGAGGCAGGGCATCGTCCAGCGCTCTGGGAAGCCCCTCCTACCCTTCGCCACGGGGCCCCCTACAGAGTGTATGAGGGATGAGAACGAGAGTCCTATCCCCTGCTTCCTGGCTGGAGACCACAGGGCCAACGAGCAGCTGGGTTTGACATCCATGCACACGGTGTGGTTCAGAGAACACAACCGCGTGGCTACAGAACTGCTCCGACTCAACCCACACTGGGACGGAGACACCATCTACCACGAGGCAAGGAAGATAGTTGGAGCACAGATGCAGCACATCACCTACAACCACTGGCTGCCCAAGGTAAGAACCTGCACTACTCCCTCATAATATAGATCTACTATTCTCTCATACTCTAACCAAGAGTTTTGTGAAAGGTCTTCAGATTGATGAAAGGTACTGTGTCTGTAAGTAATGATGTTGACTATAATATTGATGATGATGAAGATGATTTCCCCCCCTCCCTCAGGTCCTGGGTGACACGGGGTTGAAGCTGATGGGCGACTACCGCGGCTACAACCCAAACATCAACGCCGGCATCCTCAACGCCTTCGCCACGGCCGCCTTCCGCTTCGGACACACCCTCATCAACCCCATCCTGTACCGGCTGGATGAGAACTTCCAGCCCATCCCCCAGGGCCACATCTCCCTGCACCGCGCCTTCTTCTCCCCCTTCCGCATTGTCAACGAAGGGGGTATCGACCCCCTGCTGCGGGGCCTGTTTGGTGTGGCGGGGAAGATGCGCGTGTCGACCCAGCTGTTGAACACGGAGCTGACCGAGAGGCTGTTCTCCATGGCTCACGCTGTGGCACTGGACCTGGCCGCCATGAACATCCAGAGAGGAAGGGATCATGGGATACCGCCTTACAATGACTACCGGACCTTCTGTAACCTGACCTCGGCACAGAGCTTTGATGACCTGAGGAACGAGATCAAGAACCCCCAAGTCAGGGAGAAGCTACAAAGGTACTTTTGCTATAAGGCTTTCAGGAAACTCACCCCTGGATAAATAAAGATTAAATTACCATATTACCTTATCAAAAACAATCTGTATTTTTGTCCTTCTCCAGGCTATATGGCACTCCCCTGAACATTGACCTGTTCCCTGCTCTGATGGCTGAGGACCTGGTTCCTGGGAGCCGGCTGGGGCCCACCCTTATGTGTCTGCTGGCTGCCCAGTTCAAACGACTCAGAGACGGGGACCGGTGAGCTCACATCCCCTCAGCTACCAATTCTAGTCAGATTCATTTTACTCATCCCTTACACATTTACAGGAGGATGAGATAGTTACAGAAGGGTAGCCTTTGTCTTTATGGTGTGTTTACATGTAACAGATAACTAGTGTAACCCTCCCTCCTCCTGGGTTGTGCTACCAGGTTCTGGTATGAAAACCCAGGTGTGTTCACCCCAGCCCAGCTGACCCAGCTGAAGCAAGCGTCTCTGACAAGGGTGCTGTGTGACAATGGTGATAACATCACCCGTATCCAGCAGGACGTGTTCAACGTGGCAGAGCTGCCCCACGGATACGGCAGCTGTGACGACATCCCCAACATTGACCTGCGCATGTGGCAGGACTGCTGCGAAGGTGGGTCACATGGAATATAAAACACATCTTTCACATTTATGCTCTGTCTTGAATGACTCCTTATTCCCTAGATATACTGTTTGTCGTAGACATAGTGTATTGTCTTTCTATATGGCTTTGTTCCAAAGTAGTGGTCTGTGGGAATGGGGAGTTTCTGGGCTTGGTTGTGTTGATGCTGTGTTACACACTTGTGGACTGTGGCAATGGTACAAACCTCTTCAGTCAACTTCCTCTTCTCCTTGACTTCATCAGAATGGAAGGATTTTTAGAACTTACTGCTTCCATCTTGCATACAAATAAAGAACACTACCAAGACTGTTGGTACTCAGGGTTACACAGGGTCAATGTTCGGACGTTTAGTTCTGTGGAATGTGTAGTCAGAAGCAGCAGGACAAGACAGGCGTCCAGTTCTCTGTCATGTTGTGCTAACATTTTATTAGGAGGCACCTGACTAGGCTTTGTAATAATAATAATATAATATGCCATTTAGCAGACGCTTTTATCCAAAGCGACTTACAGTCATGCGTGCATAATTTTTTTTGTGTACGGGTGGTCCCGGGGATCGAACCCACTACCTTGGCGTTACAAGCGCCGTGCTCTACCAGCTGAGCTGGTCAGTACCCCACAGTGTTTGAGACAGCATATACAAAAGCTTGACTTTGTTTTGTGTGTTTGTCTGACAGTGCTATCTGTATGACTGCTGTCATGTGAAAACATCAAAGCAAGATAAGATAGTGAAGAGATGAAGTAATAAACATGTCTTCAGGCTTTGTCTTCTCACAGTGAAAAGGGGCATTGACTAGCTAGATTGGGTCCCCAGTTGTGGCTGTATAGGGTAGGGCTTGCCTATCTTTTGAATGGATTAGTGGCTCAAAACTGTGCCTTTGATCAACATTAGAGTAAATGCAATGGGTTATTTAGCTGATTTTGGTAGTTTGTTTGTCGTGAGAGATGAAGAGAATCAGCTACCTCTTCTGTTGCACCCTACTACCCTCTGACCCCAGAACTGCTATTACATTACCAGGCTTTTTAAGAGACATTATCATGTGATTGTAGGGGCTAGAGATTATATTGAGAGAAAAAGCCCTGATGTTGTTCATTTTATCCCAGGGTTCCATTTACTAACCAAGTAGGCTACACTGGGATGACAGTAGGTACTAGTTTGAGCGCTTTCAGTGGGGGTTTGTCTCGCCTCATCCACTTAAAGATATTGTTTGGTTAACGTATCGTCACATGTACGAGCAGCGCAGCCAATTCACCAATTTACTGAATTACATGGGACACTTATAAAATGAAGTTGTCTTCATCCAAAACATGCAGTAGTAGACCATGATATTGGAAATTCATGGAAAGTTGGAATTGGTGTCTGGGGTGCAGAGGTTTTCATATTTGGAGAGCAGCTGAATGTTCAGTCCAACAAACCCCTGAGTGGATGACTCTGAGCCTCTTATTCTGGGTGGCTGGGTTAGAATACAGGACTTCTGTGAGCAGTGGGCTATTACACATAATAAGCTATTTGCTCCCTACTGTGAGACACTCCAGTCGCCATGCATTTTCCATTGGCTCATTTGAATGTGTTGGATGAAGGCATGAGTTGCACTGAGTTAAAAACAGTTTGTATTCAGGTGGATACTGTGATGCGGTGGTTCCGTGTGGCTCAGTTGGTAAAGCATGGCGCTTGCAATGCCAGGGTTGTTGATTCGATTCCCACGGGGCACATGTACCAAACATTTATCTACTCACTACTGTAAATTGCTCTGGATAAGAGCATCTGCATCCACACTTTTATTGGTCATATGTGCCGAATACCATGAATGCTTATTTACGAGCCCATTCCCAACAATGTAGAGTGAAAAAGTAAGAAAAATATTTGCAAAAAAACAAAAGGAAATAGTAACACAATAAAATAACAATAGCGAGGCTATATACAAGGAGTACCAGTACCGAGTCAATGTGCAGGGGTACAAGGTAGTTGAGGTAATTGAGGTAATACAGCATGTACATGTAGGTAGGGGTAAAAGTGACTAGGCAATCAGGATAGATCATAAACAGAGTATGAAGTGTGTGAGGTGTGAATAGTTTGTCTGTGTGCGTGTGTGTGTGTGTGTGGCATCAATATGTGTGTGTTTTGTGTATGTGAGCGTATGTAGTGTGTGTGTTGGAGTGTCAATGTAGTATGTGTGAGTGGGTGGGTATAGTCTAGTGAGTGTACATAGAGTCAGTGCAAGAATGTCAGTGGAAAAAAATAACAACAAAAAAAATTATACAAAATGGGGTCAATGTAAATAGTCCTGATAGTCATTTGATTGATTAACTGTTCAGCAGTCTTATGGCTTGGGGGTAGAAACTGTTCAGGAGCCTTTTAGTTCCAAACTTGCCGCTCCGGTACCGCTTGCCGTGCGGTAGCAGAGAGAACAGTCTATGACTTGGATGGCTGGAGTCTTTGGCAATTTTTAGGGCCTTCCTCTGACACCGCCTAATATAGAGGTCCTGGATTGCAGGGAGTTCAGCCCCAGTGATGTACACTATATATACAAAAGAATGTGGACACCCCTTCAAATTAGTGGATTCGGCTATTTCAGCCACACTCGTTGCTGTCAGGTGTATAAAATCGAACACACAGCCATGAAATCTCCATAGACAAACATTGGAAGTAGAATGGCCTTACTGAAGAGCTCAGTGACTTTCAACATGGCACCGTCATAGGATGCCACCTTTCCAACAAGTCAGTTCGTCAAATTTCTTCCCTGCTAGAACTGCCCCGGTCAACTGTAAGTGCTGTTATTGTGAAGTGGAAATGTCTAGGAGCCACAACGGCTCAGCCGCGAAGTGGTAGGACACACAACGGGACCACTGAGTGCTAAAAATCGTCTGTCCTTGGTTGCAACATTCACTACCGAGTTCCAAACTGCCTCTGGAAGCAACGTCTGCACAATAACTGTTCGTCGGGAGTGTCATGAAATGGGTTTCCATGGCCGAGCAGCACAAGCCTAATATCACCATGTGACAGGCCAAGCGTCGGCTGGAGTGCTGTAAAGTTTGCTGCCATTGGACAGTGAAAATCACGCTTCACCATCTGGCAGTCCGACAGACGAATCTGGGTTTGGCGGATGCCAGGAGAACGCTACCTGCCCGAATGCATAGTGCCAACTGTTAAGTTTGGTGGAGGAGGAATAATGGTCTGTGGCTGTTTTTCATGGTTCAGGCTAGGCCCCTTAGTTCCAGTGAAGGGAAATCTTATCGCTACAGCATACAATGACATTCTAGACGATTCAATGCTTCCAACTTTGTGGCAACAGTTTGGGGAAGGCCCTTTCCTATTTCAGCATGACAATGCCCTCATTCACAAAGCAAGGTCCATACAGAAATGGTTTGCCATGATCTCAACCCAATCGCACACCTTTGGGATGAATTGGAACACCGACTGCAAGCCAGGACTAATCACCCAACATCAGTGCCCAACTTCACTAATGCTCTTGTGGTTGAATGGAAGCAAGTACCCCGCAGCAATGTTCCAAAATCTAATGGAAAGCCTTCCCAGAAGAGTGGAGGTTGTTATAGCAGCAAAGGTGGGACCACACTGCCAGGTCTCTGACCTCCTCCCTATAGGCTGTCTCATCGTCATCAGTGATCAGGCCTACCACCGTCGTGTGGTCGGTAAACTTAATGATGGTGTTGAAATCGTGCGTGGCCACGCAGTCGTGGGTGAACAGGAAATACAGGAGGGACTAAGCACGCACCCCTGAGGGGCCCCTGTGTATAGGTTCAGCATGGCGGATGTGTTGTTGCCTACCCTCACCTCCTGAGGGCAGCCCGTCAGGAAGTCCAGGATCCAGTTGCAGAGGGAGGCGTTTAGTCCCAGAGTCCTTAGCTTAGTGATGAGCTTGGAGGCCAGTATGGTGTTGAACGCTGAGCTGTAGTCAATGAACAGCATTCTCACGTAGGTGTTCATTTTTTCCAGGTGGGAAAGGGCAGTGTATATGGAGTGCAATAGAACAGTGGTTCCCAAACTGTGGGTGTGGTCCCCCCCCCCCCCCCAAAAAAAAAGGAACTCAGTCCAGCTTTCAACTTACTCTTGAAAGTTGTAATAGTAGAATGCACAAGGTGCAATTTCGAAATTGGGTAGTGCATCATCAGTTTTCCTCTTGTCATGTCAGTCATTGCATACCATAGAGAGCTACTTGTCCAGATCAACTGTCAGCTAACGTTTTTTAGCTACATTTTTTAACCCATAGATTGTTGTAATGTTTGAGTCTCTCAAATATCATATGAATACAAATTAGACATGGCAAAATGTATAGAATTGCAAGAAAATTAACTTTAAAACTGCAACATTTTCTCTGCACCCGATGACAAAATGTGAAGAATTGCAGGAAATAAGCTTTAAACCTGCAAAATGTTCTCTCCTTGCCAACAATAGGGGTGTGAACAGTTTTTGTCATGTACAGTGCTTGTGCCCATAGACTGTAAATAGAAGTGGCTCATGCGCAGGGGGGGCATGGGATGTTCCCCAATGCTGGAAGGGGGGGCCTGAGTGAAAAAGTTTGGAAACCACTGCAATAGAGATTGCGTCATTTGTGGATCTGTTGGTGCGGTATGCAAATTGGAGTGGGTCCAGGGTTTCTGGGATGATGGTGTTGATGTGAGCCATGACTAGCCTCAAAGCATTTCATGGCTACAGATGTGAGTGCTATGGGGCGGTAGTCATTTAGACAGGTTACCTTGGCGTTCTTGAGCACAGGGACTATGGAGGTTTGCTTGAAACATAGACGTAGACTGTAATATGGTAATTCATCAAGTAATAGTGAAATTAACAAATGTCAGAAATAGAAGTCAAGAATGCCATTATGGCTGTATCAAAATCAGCCTTGGACAACCGCCAACTAGTTTAATCAGTCCTTGCAATGCGCTCAGATAATTCCCCTTGAGAATTTAAGAGCCAGTCCTAATGATTTTGGGATTAAATATATGACCGTGGTTTAATAAATGGCGCTCTGTGTCTCTTATCCTTAGATTATTGTTTTTGTTTCCTCTCTTGGATCTGACCCTGGATCAGCCTTCACAAATGAACATGGGAAAAGACAAGCTAATAAACAATGAATATCCTGTCAGTGGAGAGGGTCAGAGGAGAAGAGGACAGAGTAAATACATTTTCACAATTAGCTCATCTCTCAAATACATCACTACAGTTGTTAGTTTGCTAATTAGCAAATTTTTGACATATCATAGACATGGTATAATTCAAAAGATCTCAACAGAAGACATGGTATCAAGAACAAGATACAACTAACTGAAACAAGCCACCTACGATTCCCCACATGGCAGCTTCCTGTCATTGTTGCTAACTATCTGACCGTTCCGTTCAGATTCATAACAACATACGGCCTTCCAGAGTTGTGGACTCGAGTCATATGACTTGGACTCGAGTCTGTCTCAAGTCACAAATTTGATGACTTAAGACTCGACTTGATAGAAAATAAAATGACTTGGAGAATCAAGAATCGGGACTCGATTTTGACTTGAGACTTGAAATTACCCTGCCAGATTTTGTAATGTTTTGTCACTCATTTTGTGGCACAGAGTCTACGTGGATGACTCTACATGCAGCCAGAGACAGTAGCCGCAGCATCGCCCTTGTAAAAAAAAACATCCATGTTGCAACAGATTGGCTAGTGAAACACACACTTGGCACTCTGATTGGACCAGCAAAGGACCTTGTGAAGATGCTGGAGGAAACCGGTACAAAAGTTGTCCCACTGGCTATCATAAGTTGAATGCACGAATTTGTAAGTCGCTCTGGATAAGAGCGTCTGCTAAATGATGTAAATGTACAGTGGGGAAAAAAAGTATTTAGTCAGCCACCAATTGTGCAAGTTCTCCCACTTAAAAAGATGAGAGAGGCCTGTAATTTTCATCATAGGTACACGTCAACTATGACAGACAAAATGAGAAAAAAAAATCCAGAAAATCACATTGTAGGATTTTTTATGAATTTATTGGCATATGATGGTGGAAAATAAGTATTTGGTCAATAACAAAAGTTTCTCAATACTTTGTTATATACCCTTTGTTGACAATGACACAGGTCAAACGTTTTCTGTAAGTCTTCACAAGGTTTTCACACACTGTTGCTGGTATTTTGGCCCATTCCTCCATGCAGATCTCCTCTAGAGCAGTGATGTTTTGGGGCTGTCGCTGGGCAACACAGACTTTTAACTCCCTCCAAAGATTTTCTATGGGGTTGAGATCTGGAGACTGGCTAGGCCACTCCAGGACCGTGAAATGCTTCTTACGAAGCCACTCCTTCGTTGCCCGGGCGGTGTGTTTGGGATCATTGTCATGCTGAAAGACCCAGCCACGTTTCATCTTCAATGCCCTTGCTGATGGAAGGAGGGTTTCACTCAAAATCTCACGATACATGGCCCCATTCATTCTTTCCTTTACACGGATCAGTCGTCCTGGTCCCTTTGCAGAACAACAGCCCCAAAGCATGATGTTTCCAACCCCATGCTTCACAGTAGGTATGGTGTTCTTTGGATGCAACTCAGCATTCTTTGTCCTCCAAACATGACGAGTTGAGTTTTTACCAAAAAGTTATATTTTGGTTTCATCTGACCATATGACATTCTCCCAATCCTCTTCTGGATCATCCAAATGCACTTCAGACGGGCCTGGACATGTACTGGCTTAAGCAGGGGGACACGTCTCGCACTGCAGGATTTGAGTCCCTGGCGGCGTAGTGTGTTACTGATGGTTGGCTTTGTTACTTTGGTCCCAGCTCTCTGCAGGTCATTCACTAGGTCCCCCCGTGTGGTTCTGGGATTTTTGCTCACCGTTCTTGTGATCATTTTGACCCCATGGGGTGAGATCTTGCGTGGAGCCCCAGATCGAGGGAGATTATCAGGGGTCTTGTATGTCTTCCATTTCCTAATAATTGCTCCCACAGTTGATTTCTTCAAACCAAGCTGCTTACCTATTGCAGATTCAGTCTTCCCAGCCTGGTGCAGGTCTACAATTTTGTTTTTGGTGTCCTTTGACAGCTCTTTGGTCTTGGCCATTGTGAAGTTTGGAGTGTGACTGTTTGAGGTTGTGGACAGGTGTATTTTATACTGATAACAAGTTCAAACAGGTGCCATTAATACAGGTAATGAGTGGAGGACAGAGGAGCCTCTTAAAGAAGAAGTTACAGGTCTGTGAGAGCCAGAAATCTTGCTTGTTTGTAGGTGACCAAATACTTATTTTCCACCATAATTTGCAAATAAATTCATTAAAAATCCTACAATGGGATTTTCTGGATTTTTTTTCCTCAATTTGTCTGTCATAGTTGACGTGTACCTATGATGAAAATTACAGGCCTCTCTCATCTTTTTAAGTGGGAGAACTTGCACAATTGGTGGCTGACTAAATACTTTTTTTCCCCACTGTAAATGTAATGTATCTATATCCACAGTAAAACAAGTCTTATATCGACATAACCTGAAAGGCCGCTCAGCAAGGAAGAAGCCACTGCTCCAAAACCGCCATAAAAAAGCCAGACTACGGTTTGCAACTGCACATGGGGACAAAGATCGTACTTCTTGGATAAATGTCCTCTGGTCTGATGAAACAAAAATAGAACTGTTTGGCCATAATGACCATCGTTATGTTTGGAGGAAAAAGGGGGTAGCTTGCAAGCCGAAGAACACCATCCCAACCGTGAAGCACGGGGGTGGCAGCATCATGCTGTGGGGGTGCTTTGCTGCAGGAGGGACTGGTGCACTTCACAAAATAGATGGCATCATGAGGAAGGAAAATTATGTGGATATATTGAAGCAACATCTCAAGACATCAGTCAGGAAGTTAAAGCTTGGTCGCAAATGGGTCTTCCAAATGGACAATGACCCCAAGCATACTTCCAAAGTTGTGGCAAAATGGCTTAAGGACAATAAAGTCAAGGTATTGGAGTGGCCATCACAAAGCCCTGACCTCAATCCTATAGAAAATCTGTGGGCAGAACTGAAAAAGTGTGTGCGTGCAAGGAGGCCTACAAACCTGACTCAGTTACATCAGCTCTGTCAGAAGGAATGGGCCAAAATTCACCCAACTTATTGTGGGAAGCTTGTGGAAGGCTACCTGAAACGTTTGACCCAAGTTAAACAATTTAAAGACAATGCTACCAAATACTAATTGAGTGTATGTAAACTTCTGACCCACTGGTAATGTGATCAAAGAAATAAAAGCTGAAATAAATAATTCTCTCTACTATTATTCTGACATTTCACATTCTTAAAATAAAGTGGTGATCCTAACTGACCTAAGACAGGGAATTTTTACTAGGATTAAATGTAAGGAATTGTGAAAAACTGAGTTTAAATGTATTTGGCTATGGTATATATAAACTTCTGACTTCAACTGTATATTACATATAATACTACAATAATTGCTAGCGTGTCATCATTCCATCCCGTACCGTTTATTGCAACATGTAGACATTTCTGTTTCAATGTTTGATAGGTCTACGATACATTTTCATTTAGCCAACCATTTGTTACCCTGCTCTGAGTGGGCGCAATGTGTATAGTGCTTTGTCTCTGTCAATTTTGCTGTGCGTAATAGGAGCCCGTGGCCTGCGCTCCATGCTTTGGAGTCAGAACGTTGAATAAGACACAATTATTGTTCCATGAATGCATGGTGTTGAAATATCATTAGTACTCATTAAGTCTGATTGAAGACGAATGTACCAATGTAACAATGGATGTGGAAATTGCCTTTTACATAATAGAACCAGTTTATTCCTTGTAATTGCCAATTGGGTAATTGTATGGTCCAGGGGGCCAAGTACTTATATTATGTAGGCCTACTTGTTTGAGCTCCTGTTAGACAGATTCGATTTGGTTTCTCAAGGTGAGGCTGTATAATTTTGCCCTCTACCTGTGTCGTTCAGAGAGGACAGGTTAAGCCTGACACAGAGGCTATTTCTTTTGGGCTATTGCCCGTGTATATCCGTGTATATTTGGTAAATCTACTTGTATATTTTGTATATGACACTTTCACCATTGGATCACCAAGACCTGTAAATAAATATACACTCTGAGCACTTCAACCTGCCCTGCCTTCTGCTGATTTCATGCCGTTACCACTGCTACATGGTCCATATTTTACAATTACATAAGCTAATCAAAATAATAAAAAGGTCTGTCCTCAATAAGTAGACAAAGATTTGTAGTTGAACAAGTAATTGCATGTATAGATTTATTTTACTTGACTTGAAACCTGTGACTCGACTTGACTTGCTCTTAGAATGCACGACTCAGACTTGACTCGAGTCTTGACCCGTTCTACTTGGGACTCGACTTGAGACTTGGACCTTGTGATTTGAGACTTGCTTGTGACTTGAAAATAGTGACTTGGTCCCACCTCTGCGGCCTTCTACCCCTGCGACGCGCACTTAACATTTTCGCGACATTGTCAGGCAACCCGTCTATAAGGTGTGTATGTGTCTGAGGGCTGGTGAGGCGAGTGTATTATCTGATCTGGGACCAGTCTGAATGGCAGTGTGTGGGAGGGTGGCCTCTCATTAGCCCTGCTCTCAGATCAGCTCTTTGAAGTGTGATGAAAGGGGACCGGCAGATGAAGTGGTGTGTATTCAGGGCAGATCCCCCACCTACCACCCACCACACTATACTATGGTGTGAGTGAGAGACTGTAATCAGAGACACTTCAGCTACCACCCTACCAGCATCAGTGATTACATCACAGCTAAGACTGCACATTGCATGGGCCCTGGGCTTGAACTAATTGGTCTTTATGCAATCTGAGTTTCCTGATATGCCCCGTTGTCTAAGTTGTGATTTGTTGTACCCCCCCAGACTGCAGGACCAAGGGTCAGTTCAATGCCCTGTCCTACCATTTCAGAGGGCGCAGGTCAGTGGACCAGAGCTCTGCCAAGAAGAAGCCTGCCAACAGCATACAGGAGAACAGCAGGTAACAACTAATGCTACTTGTTTGGTACCTTGTCATTCTCTGACTACATGAAGTTCCTTGAATGTGATAACCATTCTGCGTCATAGCTAACGACTGTGGTGACTAAAAACACTATAACTTACAAAGTTATGCTATAATAAGGTTGGGATATATTTTGGGATGTGTTTTCTTACATTCCAGCCCAGCTGAAGGCGCTCCTGAAAGTCTTGTGAATGTCACTCTCACCTCACAACAAAGCACTGAACCCTCGCTGAATGACTTCCAAGACTTTGTCGTAGACATGCAGAAGACAATCACAAGTTTACGAAAGCAGGTGAGAACAGTTGTGTACTGCACACAGGCTACATCAGCTGGGTTTTTTTTTATTCTTCCTGCTCATCACACATTCAAATAGCAACCCCAGTCTTTTTTGGATAGTGATTTGAGTGCTTCCTTTCCTCCTTCCTTTACATTGCAAGTCCAGACATGTTCAGCTCAGGCTCTTACAGGCAGAACCCATGCAGAACCTTGTAGAATCCAGACACTGTTCCAATATTATTAGCCTGTATTCTATGTGCCCAGATTGAACATGATATGCTGCCTGAGGGTAGAGTATCATATAGCATGTAGCACACTGGGGTGGGATGAAGGGAAACTAACGGTGCTGTAGGCTAACATGGCTTTGATTAAGTCGTCAGCGGTATAGATGATTTAAACAGACTGGGCCCTGAGTCCCAGCCTTGGCCCCTCTGTGTGCTGCCTAGGTCTTTCAACACTAAGGGAGGGGTATTTATTGTAAGTCGATGGTTAAATAAATCTAGGTTGTTCGCATGACTTGCATTACAGGAAAGACGTGGGCTGTGTGCGTACGTACGTGTGTACGTGCTTTGTGTGTTGCTCTGATCTTTAGTTAGCAGAGAAAGATGGCATTACAGTAGTCTAAACTGTCTTCCCTCTACATACCTCCTTTTCTTAATCTCCATTTACACTCCTGTCCCTGTCTGTCTGTGCAGATTAAAAGACTTGAAGCTCGTCTGAGTAAGACAGACTGCACTGATGCGGAGGGTCGTGAACGATCGGACGGAGAGAGGTGGAAGAATGATCCATGTTCCACATGCGAGTGCAAAGTATGCACACACACACACACACACACACACACACACACACACACACACATACGTGTCCATACAGACCACACACACAAGTACAGACTACACACAGACTTGCACAACCACAGTCTATTCACCACCCACTCCTCAACAGGCACACAGTGCAAAGTGTACGTTATATTCACTTCTCACATTCACACCCAGCTTATCAGGCCTGTTTGCCATTAGGGGCCTCTTCCCACACCTTTTCACACTGCCCAGAGTTGGGCTAGCTGATTAGATTGACAGTGCCAGCCCCACTCCACTCAGCACCATGCCAGTGCCAGAATCCACCTGTCCTGTCCCGTTCTGTCCTTGTCTGACACCATGGCCAGCATTATATCCTTCTCTCGCTCTACCTTTTGGCAGTACCAACCATCTGGCACTGCAGACCCATGTACAGTGTGTCACTTTTCTGCTTGACCGACTCATTTCATCTCTTTATCTCCATGACTCTCTAGTCTCTCACTGTTCCAACTGATGGCAGAGGGGAAGGTCTCTCATGCCAAACCTGATGGTCCCCCCCTCTCTCCCCCCTCTATGTCTCTCCCTCTCTCTTTTTGTCTTCCCCCACTCCCTCACTCCAGGGTGCCCAGGTGACGTGTTTCGTGGAGTCGTGTCCACCGGTGGAGTGCCAGAGGCCTGTGAAGCTAAAAGGAGCATGCTGCCCCGTGTGTCTCAACCAGGGAGAGGGAGAGGCCAGCAACAGCCAGACCCAGACAGGGAAACAGGCGCCGGGTAGCCACCACCATGTATAACCTCTCAGGGGCCACCATGTATACACACAGAGGGAGAGACCCTGACGGTGTGCTTATCTTACAGCCACCTGCACCCAATTGCCTCGTTTTTTATTCGTGTTTCTACAAAAATCATTATTGTTTTCTTTTTTTGATTTTGATTGTCATGTCTCCGTGGCCAACTAACTGCCGGAGGCTTGGTTTCAAATCCACTGGCAACGGGAGAGCAGTCGCTATTGATCTGCTTCCTTCTGGAACGATGAATGGATGGATGAATAAATGGATGGATGGACAGATGGACAACCCCCCTTCCTGGCCCGGGCCCTCCCAAACAGGGCCTCAGATAGTCTCTGATCTGAAGTGTTACCCCACCACTGCATTTGAAGGCCCCACAAAACGCCTGAAACAAATGTGTGGTGTGAAGAGGAGGGAATGGCACTGCAGCCGAGCAGGAAGGGGAAGTAGGTCGGCCATGTTGTCTCACAAAGCTTTCTCAGGTTAGAGATGCTGAAAAAAACTGGTGCTATTTTTCCCCTTTGTCTTAACGATTTAGTCACTAAATACTTCAAAGTAATGTTTTCGTTTTTGTTTGTTTTTTAACAATATGCAAAGCAACATATACACTCATTATGTGCCTTCTCATCTTTAAAAAAATCGCATTTGAGATAATCTTTTTTTATTTGCTCGAAATACATTTTATGTACAAAATTACGCTTTTACTAAATTTATATGGTGCTCTATATCATATTATAAATACCGGTATGTATTTCTCCCTTTTGTATCACCTGCTTACATATGAAGATAATGTGAAGCCCTACAAAAACTTTTGTAATGCAAAGATGTCTACTGATTATTACCTTGTTATCACATGTTGCTCCAATGGCAACTGTTGGTGAACTAAATAACATCTGGTATTTAGATATGTTCTCTTCTCTCCCCAAGGCCATGTCAACACTTTTACGAACTTGAGGGATGTTGGTTGGAGTTGGGGATGGGGTTGGGTTTGAGGCAGGATGTTCCCTTTTGGCCTAACCACTCCTTATTGGAAGGCATAATGCATTTTTATCTCTCAAGATGTAATGCTTTTTTCACACTCCATGTTGTAAAAGCAGTGAAAGGCCATTTGTTACCACTGTAGAGATGTAGTAGTTTTTGTCCCGACGTTTTCAGTGTTTGCCTACTCCCTCAGTGCCTACTGCAAACCTACCACAGCAGTATTCTCAGTCTTACCCCTAGTGTCCCCTTTTCCCCTCTGTCCAGCATTAACCCATACTCAAACGTAGACATTGAAGGACTGCAGCCATACCACTTTACTCTAACTAACTATCTGGTGCTCTCATGACCGAACACACAGCTTTTCAGCTCCAGTTTACAGAAGGACACTCACATGCATTCCTTTCCCATTCCCAAGCACTCAGTCAATATGATGTTGTAACCATTCTCCTCTTGTGTGCTGGAGAGTGTGTGTGTGTGATCAATCATCAGGTTTTTCTGACGGCTCTTCAGAGTGTCTCTTTAGTGTTAATGCGGGTGATAAACCTCGCCTGGCTCTCATCTCTTAGGTTCCTGGGAGACGATGGAGATGGAGGCGAGGTGAGGTCATTTGGCCGGGTGTGTGAGGCGCAGATTTCTACCTCTCTGACCCCCATTCCTATCTAATGGAAGCCAGATGGGAGGGGAGGGGGAACGGGAGAGGACGCCAATCAAATATCTGGCGCTGCTTTATTTCTGGAGGCTGTCTATTGTTAGTAATCAGCCAAAAGAGTGTGTCCCGTTGACAGACACACACACACACAGGCCCAAATACCAGTCACTCAGCCCCTTGTGCTGGTCCACTCTGCTCAAACAGTGATTCATAGTTATCTTCTGCATTATCTTTGTGTTGTCATGGTGATGTGCTCAGAATGTGGCAGAAATCAGATACAGGATGCTGGAGGTGTTTGGGGTTTCTCCAAGAATGTCAAAGCAAGCATGTGATGGTGGTGGAGCTGCATAGCAATGTTGGCACATTGGTATCAAACCACATGGACATTTCCTGCTTTTGTGTTGTAGATCTATACTGTTTCATCTCCTTCAGTGTTTAACCTTTCCTTTTCTCCTCCTTCTCATTTCCTTTGCGGTACCTTTGTTTTTACTCCTGCTCCAGTGTGTGTGTGTCTGTACGGTGTGAGTGAATGTGTATGCATGAACCCCCAGTTTTGGCTCCCCCTTTTTTATTTTCATTCTAACCCCTCATCTTAGTGTTCTCCCTTTTGTTCCCCAAACCCACAACTGTCAACGGAATGCACTGCTCGACAAGATTGAACATGCTTTACCTACACTGTTCCAAAGTCAGTGGTCAAAGTGGATACCTATCTGACAATTGTATTGTAAGTTTGCCAAAGAATTGTTTGCACTGTAATGTATGCCTCTCTACAATAATAAAAAAAATAGGCCACATTTGAAATACACAACCGCAATTGTTTGTTTCTGGCCTGTTATTTCCCTTCTCCCTTTAGATATGTTTCCAAACAGTCTCCTTATGGGTAAACATGTACAATACTGCCTCATGTAAAGAAGATTGATAATAGAGTTGTATGTCTTAAAACAGATGTGACCTAACTCAGTTTTTCCCCAACGCTATCAATCCTGTACTGTACTACTGTATATAGCCATTCCTCATGGTCTGTTGTGATTTGGCTTTTACACGTGAATGGAGAACAAAAGTAAGTCATGTTTAATGAATACTTGTTGTTGTGGAAACCCTATCCCCTGTGTGACTAAGGAAAATCCATCTGTGGGTATCTGTGTTGTGGCACTGTGGAGTTAAACAGACCCAGATGTACTGTGTGTTTACTATTTATCTCTAGATTGGTCTGTAGAATGATAGATTTAGAACCTACCAATGTCTTTGGTTACCTCATCTATAGGGCCAGTTGTTTTCCTGACCAGCGTTACTCTTGTGTGGGAATTAACAATGCCTTTTGATACCTGATGTAATTATAGATTTAATCACATCCTCATTGTAAATTGTTCTCCCACCCTTTGTGTAGTGCACAGATGTGTTGTTTTCAGGATGTAACATGTGTTGTTAACAGACCAACAAGCATCAGAAAGCTTTGTTAACCAAACAGGAGACAGCTGGTGTTTACTGAATGACGTCTCTTCCATTGATCATCAAGCATTAGTACTATTATCCATGCATCATCATCATGCCATGGGTGCATTTTAAATGTTTTTATGAGGAAAAGTCTGTCTCAGATGTACCTCAGGTAAAAAAGAACTGGATCTTTTCAACCAAAGTGTTCACTTAAAAGAAAAGTAATTTTGAATTAGGATGTCTGATGCAATCATTTATTGTAGCTCTTACAAAGATATCCCAAACATTGTCTCTGGATTATGTCTTCAGGTGTCTGTCCCTGGATTACCTTCAACATTTAATCTAATTTGGTTCTGAAACACTGGAACAAATAGTCCTACATTGGGACTACAATTTATTCATGATGAGAAAGTAATGAGTGAATGAAAAGTTCTCCATGACGGAGTATTAATCAAACAAGCAGTCTGCTTGGTGTCCATGTCTGGCTTTTCTCTGAACCAGGTCTCTCTCATCTATTTTTCCCTTCCTCCTTCCTCTCTATTCCTGGCCTCTTCTCAGAGGAGGGTCTGATCCTTGTCCTCCCTCCGGTGGAAGCTCCTCTCGCAGCCAGGGAGACTAGAGGGAGGAAATTGGAGGTGGAAATTAGGTTTCCAGTGGCAGGCCTGATAAAAGGCCTCCTCTTCCCAGTCAGGAAAAGCTATTATCACCATAACAACATGGAAGCACCACTCCACGGCCGTCCTGGGGTGACGTCCTCAGAGGTCTGAGTCATCAGATCGGGAGAACCCTAGAGGGCATGTTGGAGGGAGGATGGGGAGGGGGGGGGGGTCTCTCTCTCCCATTTCCCTTCATAGTCTACTCTTTCAGGTATCTCCCCTACTCCCTGCATGCACTGAAGCCTCACTCCTGGCCACTCAGCGCTGAGCGAAAGCCCAGTGTTGACTTTGGAGGGAAACAAGAGTGTAGACGGGGTGTGATTATGTAAGTGAGGAAGTGCTGTAGGTGTTACAGGGCCTGCTCCAGTCCAGACATACATTTTTTTTTTTTTTTTACATTTTTAGTCATTTAGCAGACGCTCTTATCCAGAGCGACTTACAGTTAGCACATACATTATTTTATCGAACCCACAACCCTGGCGTTGCAAACGCCATGCTCTACCAACTGAGCTACATCCCCTGCCGGCCATTCCCTCCCCTACCCTGGACGACGCTGGGCCAATTGTGCGCCGCCCCATGGGTCTCCCGGTCGCTGCCGGCTACGACAGAGCCTGGATTCGAACCAGGATCTCTAGTGGCACAGCTAGCACTGCGATGCAGTGCCTTAGACCACTGCGCCACTCGGCAGACGGTGTGAAGCAGACAGACCTACAGACCCTCCCCAGCCTGCAGCTGCACAGCCCTGGCTCTCCACCGCCTCTACTCTACTTTCTTAATCAAGACCTGTTATTTCATTTGGAAGACTAGGTTTCGGTGTTGCATTAAGGTGGGGAGTTTCCCCCCTCCCTTCCTCTCTCGCCTGGAACGTCAGTCTAATTTTCTGATGAGATGAAAGGGAGAACTCTGGATCCTGCTGTAAGCGTCAAAGCACTGGGGTATATGATTGGATGTCATCCAGTGGAAGCCTTTTCCAAAATGGCACGCAACCCTTCTGTAGTATGTACAGTGCAGTCGGAAAGTATTCAGACCCCTTGACTTTTTCCACATTTTGTTACGTTACTGCCTTATTCTAAAATTGATTAAATAAAACAATTTCCTCAGCAATCTACACACAATACCCCATAATGACAAAGTGAAAACAGGCTAATTTATTAAAAAGAAAATACAGAAATACCTTATTTACATAAGTATTCACACCCTTTGCTATGAGACTCGAAATTGAGCTCAGGTGCATCCTGTTTCCATTGATCATCCTTGAGAAGTTTCTACAACTTGATTGGAATCCACCTGTGGTAAATTCAATTGATTGGACATGATTTGGAAAGGCACACACCGGTCTACGTAAGGTCCCACAGTTGACAGTGTATGTCAGAGCAAAAACCAAGCCATGAGGTCAAAGGAATTGTCCGTAGAGCTCCGAGACAGGATTGTTTCGAGGCACAGATCTGGGGAAGGGTACCAGAAAATGTCTGCAGCATTGAAGGTCACCAAGAACACAGTGGCATCCATCGCTCTTAAATGGAAGAAGTTTGGAACCACCAATACTCTTCCTAGAGAAATCGGGGGAGAAGTGCCTTGGTCAGGGAGGTGACCAAGAACCCGATGGTCACTCTGACAGAGCTCCAGAGTTCCTCTGTGGAGATGGGAGAACCTTCCAGAAGGACAACATCTCTGCAGCACTCCACCAATCAGGCCTTTATGGGAGCGTGGCCAGACGGAAGTCACTCCTCAGTAAAAAGCACATGATAGCCCGCTTGGAGTTTGCCAAAAGGCACCTAAATGACTCTCAGACCATGAGAAACAAGATTCTCTGGTCTGATGAAACCAAGATTGAACTCTTTGGCCTGAATGCCAAGCGTCATGTCTGGAGGAAACCTGGCACCATCCCTACAGTGAAGCATGGTGGTGGCAGCATCATGCTGTGGGGATGTTTCTCAGTGGCAGGGACTGGGAGACTAGTCAGGATCAAGGGAAAGATGAACGGAGCAAAGTACAGAGAGATCCTTGATGAAAACCTGCTCCAGAGCGTTCAGGACCTCAGACTGGGGCAAAGGTTCACCTTCCAACAGGACAATGACCATAAGCACACAGCCAAGACAACGCAGGAGTGTTCTTCAGGACAAGTCTCTGAATGTCTTCGAGTTGTCCAGCCAGAGCCCGGACTTGAGCCCGATCAAACATTTCTGGATAGACCTGAAAATAGCTGTGCTGAGACGCTCCCCATCCAACCTGACAGAGCTTAAGAGAATCTGCAGAGAAGAATGGGAGAAACTCCCCAAATACAGTTGTACAAAGCTTGTAGCGTCATACCCAATAAGACTTGAGGCTGTAATCGCTGCCAAAGGTGCTTCAACAAAGTACTGAGTAAAGGGTCTGATATTTCCGGGTTTTATTTTTAATACATTTGCAAAAATCTGTTTTTGCTTTGTCATTGTAGGTTGTTGTGTGTAGATTGATGAGGGGAAAAACGATTTAATCCATTTTAGAATAAGGCTGTAACGTAAAAAAATATAGAAGAGGTCAAGTGGTCTGAACACTTCCCAAATGCACTGTACAGTATAGGCAGTGGCTGGAAAAAGTACCCAATTGTCATACTTGAGTAAAAGTAAAGATACCTTAATAGAAAATGACTCAAGTAAAAGTGAAAGTCACCCAGTAAAATACTACTTCATTAAAAGTCTAAAAGTATTTGGTTTTAAATATACAGTGCATTCGGAAAGTATTCACACCCCTCGACTTTTTCCAAATGTTGTGTTACAGCCTGAATTAAAAATTG